ACAGAGCACCATTTCGCTTTGTGTCGTGCGGTGTTCAACAGGGACTACTCCTGTGGAACATAGGGTACGACTGGGCCCTTCGATGTCGCTTTCCCCCCGGGCTGGGCGTAATCTGTTACGCTGATGACACTCTAGTCACAGCCTGAGGCGGCGAACTTTCAAGAAGCGGCGCGGCCGGCCTTCAGGCCTAGATGAAGTATCTGGGTCTGATCCTCGACGGGAGGTGGCTCTTCGACGAGCACTTCCGACAGGTTGCTCCAAAGGTGGTCGGCGCTGCGTCTGCCCTAGGACGACTTTTACCGAATTTGGGTGGACCCAGCGTCGCGACAAGACTACTGTACACGGAGGATGTTCGGTCAATGGCACTGTACGGTGCACCAGTATGGGCGGCAAGCTCTGACCACCCAGAATAGGGCCATTAAAGGCTATTGGCACTGTTACCGCACCGTTTCGACGGAGGTGGCTTGCGCGTTGGCCGGAATCCCTGATCCCCCATGGGATTCGGAGGCAAAAGTGATCGCCGAAGTATATCGGCGGACGGCTGATTTCCGGGCAACGCTCTTGCGACTCTTAAATTGCAGCTGATGTTTATGTTATTGATCATACTCACAGCACCAGGACCCATTGCCTTTTAAATGTATTTTTGAAAAACGTCACGATCAGGTGAACCGTTTGTTCGTTTGCCCCCAAAACCACGAGAAATGATGTAAAACACTATAGATAAAGTAGATCCGTAAAGAACCTGATTTGTACACAATAAAAATATCTATGTACCTACTCTTTTTTACGGCAATAATACGCGAATAAGTGTGACACAGCATTAAAATCACATCACACACCAACAATGATGTTTTTGGCCCCTAATTGATGGGCTTAGAAGGTCACGTACATATTATGTAACAAGTCACAGCTGATCTGTGTGTTATTATAGGTCATAATATAAAGTAACAAAGACCAAACTCCTATGGAGGAATGACAGAAAAAAACGAAAATTACCGTGAGAGCCACGCTTTTGCACACAAGGTGGAATCGACCGGGGTGACACCAGGGCCTCACAGAAAACCGGTGTTAAGCTATTCTTTCGTTGCTATTCAAAGTAAGGTTAAAGGAGACCAAGTCCCCCCCCCCCCCCCTGAATGATTCTGGAGAGTCGCAAAGAGCGCCAATGCACTTGTAACTCTTGAGCTGCAGGTGTCCATTGGTGACGATAGTCACTTACCATCGGCTTATGCTCGTTTGCCCTCCTATACTATAAACGAATAAAACAAAATCGATCGTGCATGGAGACAGCCACAAGGTAGTACAGCGGGAAGGAACTTAGTGGCCAACAGTTGAACATATTTTTTTTTTACTTTCCCAACATTTTTTATGGAAGAGGGGGCAAACAGGCAGACTGGATCACCTGATGGAAAGCGACTATCGCCGCCAATGAACGCCTGCAGCTCAGGAGATAGAAGTGCGTTGCCGGCCTTCAATGCCAGTCTTTAGACAACATCCATGATCTAAACTATAGTAAACATGCTAAATATATTTTTAACATGCCGCTCATGCACGGCATAGACAAATAAAGCATGTCATGCGTACTGGTTTGCTGTTTTTTAAGCGGTAAAGATTTCATACAATGTATATGATCTATGGTATATATAAAAAAAAAACTATTACATAAGTTTAAAAAAACATCCAATGTCCGTGTAGTGACGGATTAAGAATACGGAATGTCACTACCCCAATTCATCCCGTGGGTGTCGTAAGAGCCGACTAAGGGCGCAAAACAATGCAGGACACCAGCACTGCAAAAAGAAGGAAAACTTGACACAAACCCTATTCCAACCCGTCTGGCCAGCGTGGTATAGTAGGCCAAAACCTTCTTTCTAAGGAGAGGCCTATGTCCAGCAGTGGACTATTAAAGGCTGTTGATGATGATGATGATGAAAAAAACATATATCATCGATTTCAATACGCCTATATCATGATGAATTGTAATAATTTCCATACTTGGATAGATACGTATTAGATAGTGTTTTTGGGACGAAATGTTTGCCAAATCGGTTATACAACAAGGAAGGGATAAAGACCAGATGGCAAATTCTCGTAATGAAAAATCGGTCAAAATCCAGTTCCGATCAATTCTCGACCTCAAAATGGTAAAGTATTACTAAGACTAGCAGATTACCGATTGAACTTTCGGTCACATAACAGATATAATCACAGAACAGTTAACATTGGAATTTAATCATTGACTAAAAAAATACAATTTTTGACATTTGTGAGATCGAGAGCAGATCGAAACTTGGTTTTGATGGAATTTTCATCACGATAATTGGCGTTCTGAGGGTATTTTTAGTACATGTTGGGACCCGTTAATGTGAAGGTATGTACGGGTTGACTATGCAGAAGGTACAAATCAAACTGTTGACATTTTAAGACCCAAAGACGTTCATTTGCCACCTCCTGGCTTCATCAGATTCGATCAACTCGATTTGATATCTGATTTAGTAAGATCACGTGAGTGACCTCGATATTTGCGACAATCACAATTTCACGAATTCCTCAACTACTTATCAGATATGTGCGTAACTTATAATCACTATGTTGGATGAGCAAAATAATTGAAACACTAATTGTAAAGCTGATTGTACACTAGCTTCTGTTATGTACCCTGCTTATAATATTATCAATGATAGTCTAGAGAAGCAAATAGATTACCTTTTGTTCCAAAAACATCTATATTAATCAAACAGCCGCAGTCAAAAGCTAGCATTACACAAAAAATAGCCCTAAAAATTAATGGATTATAATTGCTACTAACCAGGCAACGCAGTGTGCGCCAGCATATCGTGACAAATGGATATCACACATTATTATTGATTTAACACTATAACGTGAAAAAACCTAAGTATTTCAAAAGTTAAATATTACATTACAACATTATATGTAAGTACTTTAGGCACTTGACTAACAAGTTTACTGTGGACTTTCCTAGAAATTTATTTAGTTATGTTTATACATTAGACCTGTTCGTATTTATTGAATATTTCCTCAACTTCTTGTTTTAAAACATACTTATACAAAAGTTTTAATGCGATGTAACGTTTGAATGCCGTCAGTATTTTATTTCATTGATTAATGTGTCAGAATCATAAGAATAAATCGTAACCGGACAACTCAATCCTCCCCACCCCTGAATCTGGAAGGGGAGAGGAATGAATAAGACTTATGAGTAGCAGCTCGTTTATCCCTCTTTGCTACAAAAACATTTTATTTACAAGTAGGTTTGTTCATCGGAGATTTATTTATTTATTCTATATCGAGCAGTGGACTGTTATAGGCTGTTGATGATGATGTTTATTTTAAAAGGACAACTCCCGCGCTAGGAATAAATCTTGTGTCGTGGGGGACTTTACATTCATGCATGAAACGGACACAAAGGACACCCAGACTCAGAACCACAATTTGCGGATCACATAAATTGTCGTCCCATGTGGGGATCGGACCCACAACACTCAGCGTAGTAGTAAGTAAGTAGCGCTTAAACCACTACGCCATCCGTGCAGTTGGTACAATTTATCGGTAGTCTGGTTACCATTGCCCAAGCTCTGCCTAGTTTGGGATCAGACGGCCGTGTCTGAGTTAAAGGACGTGTGATCCATAAAAGTCGTTTATTAGCTATCTGGTTACCATAGTCAGGCTCCGCAAAGTTTGGACTCGGATGGCCGTGACCGTGTATTGATACGTGACATATTGAAGTGAAACTTCTTTAGAATAGTTGTGATTTGAAACTCGATGAAACGAAAATGCGTCACGATAAAGAAACCAACACATAAATGTATAGGATTAAGTCGGCGAGAGAATGAGATAGAATCACACATTATTCTTAATATATATTGTGTGAATATTTTTATCTTTTTATTTAATACTAGCAGGTACCCGCGATTTTGTTCGCGTGGAAATTGAAAAACGCTGACCACTAAGTCAGCGTTTTTTTTCCCAGGTTCGATTCCCAGGCCAGGCAAAATTTTATAGGGTTTTTCTGAGATACATTTTTTTTGGAAGTTTTATTTCTGCCATGTGTGAATTCACTTTTTTATTATTTGCTGTGTTACATCTGTTCAGCCGTTTGAAGATCAGTATCTCTTTTTTAATTAGTGAATGGAATTGTGACTTGTAGCTATTTGAGTTATAAAATATATTTTTGTATGATTTTTGGATGACATTTTTATTCACGACTGCCTTTACTAGTCCACTGCTGAACACAGGCCTCTCTAGAAAGAGGTTTTGGCCTACTATACCACGCTAGCCAGACGGGTAGATATAGGGTTTGTTTCAATTTTTCCTTCTCTCTGCAGGGCTGTTGTCCTGCATACTTTACGAAACCCACGGGATGAATAGGGGTAGTGACACTCTGTATTCTTAATCCGTCACCACACGGACAACATTTCATTCGTGCAATCTAAAATCTACTCTAAAACATAGACGTCAAGTTTAAAACAGGGTTATGGTGTATTCATGCTTGTGAGAGGGATCATCAGAGTTTCCAGACCGTATTACAGGTTGGTAAGTCTGGGAACTGGTACTTCCATAACCACTTATAGTTAAACCGCCGTAAGCTTGGCCCTCCTGATGGTTTGGGGGACGCGGGGCGGGTGATGCGCTCGGCTATACATAACTTACTACTTACGTTTAACTATAATAGTGATAAATGATATAAAAGCAGGTAGTGTGGAAGAAATAATGATTGGGTTACGTGCATCGTGTTAGTCTCACAATAGTACAGATATAACATAAAAAGTATGCGAGAATTTGCATATACTACTTACTTAAAACAGAGGTTTAAAATAAAAAGGTAATTAGGTGAAATAATAGATATTTGTCTACATATTTTAATGAAATAATTGACGAAAACATCTTAGTATTCGATATAATATATAAACAAACATATGCATTATCAGTTCATACATAACGAAACACATAGAAGCACACAATAACAAATCTACACTAACTTCCTGCCCCTCTCTTTGTCACGGATTCTGGAGCGGGGCGGAGTGGTGCCCAGAAGGTCGGCTTCAGCCCCATCTCCGCAGTCAGCGAGCAGATATTTTGACGAGTGGCGGGGATTTCTGAACACCACGTCTTTTGTGTCGCTGGTGAAAGGAGGAAAGATGAAATTAGAATATCAAGATAGAAAAAGAATGTAACTAAGAAACTTAAATAGAAAAAGTATTACACAGAATTTATTTCAAGGAACTGATATCTATAAATGAGATAAGACGTGATTTGTTTTTTTTTCAAGGTTTTCCTGATGATAATCCTCATGTTAAATTTGTAAAAACATTACAAACACTAGGCGTGCGAACCCCCAGGGTAGGGCGCCTGAGGCTGGCCGTCGGGGTGGTTTTAGTGGAACCACCACATACTTCTGTCTAATACATCTCCAAGGAGCCGGCGATCTGAAGGGATTTTCTATATTTAACAAAAAAAAGGCTTTTGGACCCGGCTTTTTAGCTTTGTATCTACGAGTAAGTGCTCCAAAGCCGAAAGGAACGGACGAACTTAACAAAAGTAAACTAAAGTTTATTCATTTTAGTCTAAGCGAGTTTTGTAACAACATAATTGGTTTTATTAATTCAGAATTTCAACTTTCTACACCTTCTTCTACTAGTAAACTTTAGTATTTCGAGTTTTACATTCCTACACTACTTTTTCTTAGAAAGAGGTACAAATAATTCTGTTTACCTGTTATAAATATTACATGCTAGAAAATAGATATAAAACAAAAAACTATCTAAGTATAATTGCAAAAAATTAAATCGTAAACAAGGTCATAAGCAGACGGATATTCGTTGCATAAATAGATATTTAAATTTAGAATGCGACGTTTTTAAATATTCGTGTGAAAGTTTTAGTCTATTGTTAAATTCGTAGCCAAGGATATTGCGCACGCGCATTATTGTGAATAACGTTTCTAATCACTATGTCATATCAGTGTATTATGAGAATTTTCGTACATTTCGTCTAGTAGTGGCGAATTTAAATATTTATACATTTACAGCTGTGTTTTATAGTTTTTAAGATACGAAACAGTTTCAAGATCACCACCTCTAGAGCCGTCTGACGGCATTTATCACGACACAAAAGTATCGTACTGATATCAGTAGGTACTGATAATACGTCGCGTTATTACTTAACAAAGCCGGTTTTAGTATGACGTCGCTGTGAAATTATACCATGTAATAAGGTTAAATGTCAAACGTCAACCTCGTAACTGGATTATAATAGGAGCTGTGACGTGGTGTAATAAATAAGTTTGTTTATTTATTGATTAAAGTAGTCCATAGCTTTCTTCAAGCATTGAGCGGAATACGATTCTGGTTATTTTCAGGTTCCGCTTCAAATACATACATATTATTTGTGCCAGTATGATAGGTGGCCGATGCAAACCGTTGAGTTAACTCAGTAAAAACAGGTCATAACCTATCCATGGAAACAATCTAAAGTCTGTGTCGACAGATATCTACACACAAGAAACACACCTTGGGGCAAGTTAGTCGTTAAATAAGTAAACCAAAACCTACTCAGCATTGACACATATTTTTTTTTACATTGATTAGTTATAGGATATTAATAAACAAAATATTCACCTACATAATAGTTCCAAACAAAATTGTCTGGACCGCGATTCATCCTACTTAACACGTACAAAAGTTTTAACACCTGTCTGACCACTCCGATGAGTCAATTTATTATTCACAAGACAGAATTTCTTACGGCAAAAAGACCAGTCACCACATGGTGCCCAGTCTGCTTGCCATAATGTGTCCAAGCCCCTCCCCCCTCCTCCTCCCCCAAACAGGGTGAGGATTCGCTTGATAGCCCACAACTTTAAATGGCACAAAATCACAGTGAACTGTGAATGAACAGTGATTTATCATTCGACTTTTTCGTACGTAGTTTAGGGTTACTACTTTCTCACGCGTTGTTGCTAATAATAAGTTGTTTTCAGACGATGCATAAAGACCCTATTTTGCGTATTTAACAGTAAATCTAGTAATTATTTTACCATTCCCTACATAATAATTAAAAAAAAAAAGACGTGTGGCACTCGGGGACTGCCGCGGTTAAGCTATTGCATAGCATTTTGTATCAACTTATGCAATTATAATTATTTATTTATTTTATTTATGCAGTATTTCTTTTTCTTTGATATTAATTCAAGTTACACTTTTTGAGCGTGGTGACCGATAAGAAAACAATTTTTTTTTCTTTTATTAAATAAAAATATTGAAGCATATACTTATTACAATTTGTTTTTAAATAAATAAATAAAAATATTATTATTAAATCAAATTACATATCCATGTAAGATTTTTCTGCATTATGTTGACGAAATTTCCTTTGACGTTCAGCATTTGATTTTGGTACTGTTTTTTGTTTTGTTTTTAGCGTGAGGTTTTTTTCGTTACGGAATGTCTGGATTCGGTCTCCGCGCTCAAGGCCCTCGATAGAAGCTATGCAATAGCTTAAAAACCTAGATTTACTGTTAAATAGCGTTTAATCTACCTACCTAAGAACCCCAACCTACAAATCAAATGATAAATCTCAGTTTACTGTTATTTTGTCACATGTCTACCCACGACTATCGCTAAAGTTTTCTACGTGACTATGACTTAATATTCCCAGTTTGCGTGCCTTTCTTTGGCGTTTCCTACAGTTGTTACCTAAACCTTTCTCGTAGATCACTATAGTATCCATTGGTGAAAATAGAATTAAATTCCGTTCGGTAACTTTGGAGTTTAACGCGTTCAGACGGACACACAGACATATAGAATGGGGAATTTTATTTTATGATATGTAGTGTAGGTATATTGTATACATAGTTTGCAGTTTGTTACACTGTTGTTTCCTGTTATTTATGCATAATTATATTGATGTGATAGTTTCTCGAGAACGTCAGGTCTCTTTTGTGAAGAAACGGTAAAACATTTCTCGACCTTAAAACTTACATTGATCAAGTATTAAATGTCTTTAACATTCATTGCATGAAAACCGGTTATATTTATGGGTAATAAAGCCAACATAGATTATTTTAAAGTAAGAGACAGAGAATTTATTGACCGAAATATGCTTCGATTACAACTTCCTTGTTTATCTCGGACTTCGGGAGTAATCAGGTATGATTGGTAGCTCATTTCGCTCCTTCATTTTTCAGATCCAAAACTACAAAAATAATATTAGATTTTTATGGATGGAGCACATGGGTCTCCTCATGATAAGTGACTGCTGCCGCCCAAGGACACCTACACGTTTAACTTATATTGAATGCATTATGGGAAGTCCACCTCGTAATTGTTATGACTTATAGACAACTTTTCGCCATCGTTTAATACTACAAAACTGCCATTTGTAACAGAATATCTATTAAAGTTCTAGTTTCTACCTGGCAGACAACAATACACACAACAAGAACAAGTTTACACACAACACGGACAAGGTCCGTGTGGTGACGGATTAAGAATACAGAGTGTCACCACCCCTATTCATACCGTGAGTGTCGTAAGAGCCGACTAAGGGATAAAACTACGAAGAACAGCACTGCAGAGGAAAGGAAAACTTGACACAAACCCTGTACCAATCCGTAATGCCAGCGTGGTATAGTAGGCCAAAACCTCCTTTATAGGAGAGGCCTCTAGCAGTGGACTATTACAGGCTGAAAGATTGCACGATGTGAGACAACATTAGAAAAAAAACTGCGTATCTATACTAATATTATAAAGCTGAAGAGTTTGTTTGTTTGTTTGAACGCGCTAATCTCAGGAACTCCTGGTCCGATTTGAAAAATTCAGTGTTAGATAGACCATTTATCGAGGAAGGCTATAGGCTATATATCATCACGCTAAGACCAATAGGAGCGGAGCACCAATGAATAATGTTTCAAAAACGGAGAAAATTTATTACTATTGAGAGACGCAGACGAAATTGCGCGGGACAGCTAGTATGTTATACACTGCTAAAAATTTCAGCCTCCTAAACAAAAGATATAAATAAACTCATTATGTCCACTGAACGACCTTAGGCGTTTCGTCACGATCCTTTTGTCTGCAAGGCGGCATAGACATTTTATTATGCCGCCGCCGTCCGTTGGAAGCGTCTATGGGTCTTCCCCGGCTTCGTTGCGATATTGTTACGTCTTAATTCACAACATTAATTGAGTCTCCTAAAGAGTACTATGAAGGAAAGAAACGGATAAAGGATTTATTATCGCTTAGAACTAAATATTATACTAGAACTATCAAAAATTGATAGAACCAGACTTTTCGGTTTAAAGTCTGTTTAAAGAATCAATTCACAGTAAATATTTAAAACCCTGTGTAGTATACGGCAAAAATCCATACTTCTTAGTATAGAATAAAGTTGCTTTTATTTATTGTACGCTTCGATCTTTAAAATTTAAAACTTTAAATTTAAACCAAGCAACGGACCAAACTACGCAGGACAACAGCACTGCAGAGAGAAGGAAAACTTGACACAAACCCTATAGGTACCAACCCGTCTGGCCAACGTGGTATAGTAGGCCAAAACCTCCTTTCTAAGGAGAGGCCTAAGTCCAGCAGTGGACTATTATAGGCTATGATGACTGATATGATGATGATGATGTAATGTGAAGTCGTAAAAAAACATGTTTTTGTGTGCTCACATTGTTAATGCTGGGGAAACCTTATGAAATAGATCAAAATAATGTACTACGGAATTGTATATCTTAAAAAGATCTACAAATAAGTCCGCAATGGTATATTTCTATCTCCTATTGATAACCCACAGTAACCATTTTTATCTTTTACATATAAATTTTTAATATACAAAATAATAGGTAATTTAGGAAGCTATTATGAACAATACAGTATTCCTTATTCCTTATCCAAAATACGTTGGATACGTTGCATTTAATGTAGATCAAAATTGCCTTTTACAGCATATCATTAAAGTGACTATTTTAATAGATATCAGAGATGTAAAATGCGGGGCCAAAGCCACCGTCGCCGCGTCTCGGGCCTTACGGCCATCCCGGGTGGCAGCCAAGGGCAGGAGCGGAGCGGGAATTTAAATATTGCATATAAAGATGTGCTGTAGTATAGTCTTATCGTAATCATTTATAATTGTGTAATAAATTACTCCACACTGACACCACATTAGTAGTACATAGTATTGGTAGTATATATGTTGCAGCCATGTAAAGCCGGGGCAGATCACTAGTACACTATATAATATTCTTTATTAAAAAATAAACCAATAGTAGGTAACGCTTCTCCCCTGAACATGACGTAGTATATCAATTTCTCTATAAATTTGTAGTAATCTCACAATTCTTCATAGCACACTCAAAGTGACATAAAAAGTGATAACAGAATAAACTGTGAACAAGTGCATAAACAGAGCCACGCGTGACGCATTAGAGAGAATCATCAAACTAATTTAATTTTTTGTTTGGCATTGGTACTAAAAGTTTTGTTCGAATTTGGCCTTAAAATATGCCAAAAGTAAAACCGACATTTTCTCAACATTGAAGTTATTTTAAACTAGCTAAGACCCGCGGTGTTACCCGCGTTTGTTGTTATAACCGCGGGCAACGCCGCGGGGCGAAGCTAGTCTAAAAAAAGTAGCCTAAGTTACTCCTTATGTCATCAGCTATCTGCCAGTGAAAGTCCCATCGAAATCGGTCCAGCCGTTCCAGAGATTACCCGGAACAAACAGACAGACAGACAAAAATTATAAAAAATGCTATTTTGGCATATGTACCATGTAAACATACATATGCATTTAGTAAAAAGCGGTTATTTTAATATTACAAACAGACACTCCAATTTTATTTCTTTGTATAGATATAGATTTGATTTTATAAATTATAATATAAGTTCTTAGGAAGTGTATCCAAAAATATTTGATTTATGGCTACGGGATTTTTTCAATTATAAAAAACCTTTTCTGGTCAACTCCTTCTAGTGTCTTCCCCCCATTTGGATCACCTACCTGGCCATTTTTGTTGTATATCATCTTTCGTCTTGCTTTTTCTGCAATCTGAGGAGGTGATTTAGTGAAAAGGGACAGAAATATGTAACAGGAAGTAGGAGAAGGGAATTGCATATCATATGCAAGTTCTGAGAGGTACACTTTTTTTTAGTATTAACACTTCTAATAATTTGGACACAAAAAACCAATTAGGAGTGATCCCTTAATGTGTATGTGTTCAAACAAACATTGTTTACTTTAATCTTGATTGAGCATTACCGGGAATGGCATGCCTTAGTAATGGCTGATAACATTAATTGCTGATAACATAATCTAATGTTCAATAGCTGGCAATGTATATTAAACATACCATGCAATGTGAAATATTTCTATCATATCATAATTTACAAACGCTGTAATATATAATATGGAACATTTGAATCCTACCGAGTGCAAAAGATTTGTGTGCATAACTAGTCATTGTCTGCAGCTCTGCTAGTGTTATTATAGAGTTTCATATTATATATTTCTAAAATTAAAAGTAGTATTTCTACCATGGGTGAACCAATAATAATAAGCCTTTAATGCCGAAGTTATACAGTTTTTCCATAATACTAAATAATCCCTTGTACACTAATCATGTTATGTCCGTAAGTTCGGTGTGCCTTACAGCATAGAACTCCTCCAACGTCTTCCACTGTTTCCTATCGGTTAAAATTCTTAGCCAAAGGGGACCTTGAATTAATTTCAGATCATCTTCACTTTGCAAGATCCAAGCTTTAGCTAAATGGGTCGGCTCAATCTGAGTGGTACCACAGCTTCACAGAAACATTACGTTATGAAATTCATTTGTAGCTTTTCACCATGTGACTTACACTACGGAAAACGAAACCCACCCTCCTCCCGTTTCTGGAGGAGGGGGCTCATAGAGTGACAACACACTTGTAACCCTTGAGTTGCAGGTGTCCATGGGTTTTAGTCACTTACCATCAGATGACCCATCCTATACCATAAGTGAGCAGTATGTCATCAGTCACTATGCAGTCAGCAGTTCGAGTGTGATTCAGTCCTATACAAACTTGCTCACTTAGAATAGTAGTAAGATTAAGTCCATTTGCATTTGCTGCGGTTTAAGCAGTCACCTCGCAGCTTCTTATTGCACTGAGTGTTGTGGGACTAATACATGGGATAACACTTTGTGTGATAGTGTTCCATGTAATCAGGGACACGGGATATATTCCTAGTGCGGGATTTGTCGTTTTTAAAACAAACAAAAAAAAGAATATTTGATTAGCTTAACTTGATTAGGTTTAAATGTGGTGTGTCATAAACCCTACTTGATACAATTAAGTTTTTTTTTTATATTTCTTTATTAAACTTTATACACCAATTAATATATTGTCAGACTTAATACCTAGGGCATTCTCTACCAGTCAACCAATAAGAAGACCAAACCGCGAAACCGCAAAGAGCAAAACCGTGGTAGGCTGGCTATGTCTCCAGATGAACTGCTGGTTGCTGGAGCTTAAAAATGCTAGAGTGGAGACCACAATTAGGCAAACATAGTGTTTGCCAAAAACGGATGATGCGGACTACCAATGACCAGAATAGTTGGTGCTACTTAGGGGAGATCTCTGTTACAATACATACAATAAAACAAACATACAACAACTAAATTGACTAAAGTCAATTAAGTATGCCACTTCATGTAAAATTCCTCATCCTAAGAAAACTTCTAATTTATGTATAAATACATTTTACTTATTTTTAATGTAAGTTTCAATACTTCAGTATTAAAACTTACATTGAAGATATTATAGTAAGATTATGGTTGTATTATAATAATGGTAAAATATATATTTATAAATTGGTTTTTCACAAAATAGGTTTACTATTTAATAGTAGTTTTCAGAATGAGTTTGGATTTTAAAACTATCTATATTAATCTATCTTATTGCGCTGAGTGTTGTGGGTCTAATACATGGGACAACACTTTGTGTGATAGTGTTCCATGTAATTATCAATCTATCTATATTAATTATATATATATGTATATTCATATCTTTATTTTAAAGCATTGTTTAATGAGATTGGAGTAAGATTGGAGTTATTACAATAAATAGGTGCGATTTTAGATCTCCAGAAGTCTCCATAAAAGCTGATCAAAGATTTCTCCTATTTTAGGTGTAGTATGGCACATTGTGTGGTTTTAGCACCCTACCGAAAACCCCAGTGGAGTAATCGAGTAGGTTAACACGTAAAAATAAGGTTTTATAACATTATAAGTGTATGTCTATAACGGATAATTTATTTATATGATAAACGTTTGTTAAGAACATGTGATTGTAAAACATGACTATCAAATAAAGAGATGATGTTCTTACGTCAATCGGTACGATAGATAAACTAAAAACACACTAAAAAGTTTTCCGGCGGCAAGTCAACGCAAAAGTATATTTTAAGCACGATAATTGAATTAACACTTACAAATCATCATCAGAGCTTGTAGAGCTGTAATTGATTGGAAAACCCACGCTCCTTTTCCAATCTTTATTCTCCGCATCCATTATTAAAAAGCGCAAATACTTTGAAATTGTTATCTACAAGATTTGACGTTAACACAACACTATCACATTAAATCACATCAATACACACTTTAATCACCCACAGAATTGGCACAGCACTGCTTAGAAATAAATTCTACAACAACGTCCATCTTCTGCAATATTTTTTCGATAAAACCGGCACTTCATGTAAAAATTTTTATCATGCACAAACGTGAACGTCTTCACGTTACGCGGCAATTAAAGTGAAACTGAATATTCTGTATATGGCAAATGTCAAAGTTGTCAAATCCATTTGTCTTTGCTGCGCATCATTGATAAAAGAAAAACTAAAAATTTTGAGTTTTATTTACCAGTAGGTAATGGTTTACAAGTAGCACGGATATTCATGATCTTATTAAAATAATTGTATTAAGGGATAATCTTCTATTAAACATCCAAAATAAAGGCAAAACAATACCACTGGGCAATCATTTAAAAAAAAACAATTGTGTTCTAAATAGAATCTGGTATAGATACTCTGTGGTATAGATGTACCAGAATCTGATGGCAAATGAGCAAGTTAAAATTTCTAGTAAGCAACACTGGTGAATTTAAAATTAAACTTCTTGATGGTTGATATTTATTTTATAATTTTACCTTAATAACATTAAATCCTTAAATCCTTAATGGTAATTGTGCATTTGTTTATTGATAAAATGGAAACATAATAATTAATATTGTGTTATGTACTTCGGCAATATTTTTTGTTAAATTACAAAACAACAACAGAAGCAGAACTACAAAATGATTCCAAATATTCCACCTGCTTATTTTTGAGTTGATGAAGACAATGGTAAGACAAAGTAGTATTTATAACAAATCATTCTTCGAGCCTTTCAATCAAGTGCTCTAAATTAGAAAAGTTTTATCAAATATTGTATAAATGTATAGCCGAACACTGTCTTTTAAGATACAGGTGTCACCTAGTTTAAAAGGCAGGGTTTTTCACTGATTGAACATGGATATTTCGATATTACCGACGACTAAAATTGTCCTGTAACTAACATGTACTGTAAATTTCTATGTATAATTGTTTTGGAAATAAATTTATTATTATTATTATTATTATAAGTGATCCGCTTTGACATAAATAGTTTCGATTTTCATTACTTGTTGATAATATTTTCGCCACTCATCTGATAAAACTTGTAAGATAACTACTTTTGTTTATATTTTAATATAATTTAACATAACATAGAACAAAATTAAATTAAGAAAATACTTTACAGTTCAAATACGATGAAGTATAATTTTATTTTATTTTTAACATGACAACATTCTTTTACTTAGTTCCTAATCATTTCTAAATCAAAACTATCCAAGGTCATTGTTTAGTTCTACCTTTTCCCTTTTTACCAGGCGTAGAGAATACATCGTCTCACAGCAGTATTAGAAACCACTTTAAAACAAATTATTGGTTAATACTTGGCAATTTATAAGAATGAAGAATAAAGTATCAAAACTATAATTAACTATAATAAGTTTGACATGACATATGACAAATTAACATTGCCATATGAAAATAACATTTTGCTTCTTTTTTAAAAAGAAAAGATAATAAATACGTCAATATTTGTGCGATTTCATTTCAATCACTGTAGCGAAAAGTGATATCCTACCTACGTAATAATTATCCTCACTTTCATTGTCGCAGAATGACAGACCTAACTATAGTCCATCTAATCTGAGAGGTACCGTTTGATACTTTTCAAGCCTAAACAACTTCGTAAATAAACTTTTCCGTAAAACTATGGAATTATGAAGCTATTTATATTTTATTACAAGATGTACAATTATTATTGACTAAATTTAAATTTAGTTCTTCAAACCAAAGCAATATAAACAATAGATGAAATTTTTTTTAGACTCGTTATAAAGTCACCGTACTGTTGTGACTCTTTAAATTCACTTGTATACGAATAATCATTAGTTATGTCAATAAGGATCACATTGTAACACAATTTGTAAACAGGCAATAACAATATAGACATAAAATAATAAGAGTAGAAAACACCGAACACATCATGACCCCCCGTCATGAGTACAGAGTAATGGAGCAAAGACCTGTCGGTCATGTAACCTTTAACTGAATAATAATATTTATTCAGCAACAAGTAATTTCTTTGATATCTTTCGGAATATTATTGTACAGAATATACTTTCATGCATCAGATGTGTCTTGCTAGCAACTCTGTGGAATTTGTCCTTATGTCTTATGCGTCGACGGTATTTAAATAGCTCAGAATTATTCTTAACAAATAATGCAACCTCCAGAATGTATGCCATATATACTAATATGCAGTTACCTCTAAATAATTAGATGAAATAAAATAAAATAGATTTGTGTACGAAATGGAATGAAAAAATTCTTTTATATAAGTTATTCATGGACACCCAAATTTTTTTTTTGTTAAGAAATTAAAGAATAGCTAATAACTTCGTAGATACTGTACTTTTAGTGTTTTATGACAGGATTATACGTACATTTAGTATAAATTTATACGAAATATATATGTTTTATTTTATTAGTATTTATTTATTACTGACTCTTTACACTACAAATTTAATATACTTACTACTAAATGATGAAGTTCTAGGTACTAGTTCTGACGTAAACTTAAGTATGTAGGTATATCTGCCTATACCCATTTATTATATTATATTACACACACTAGATTAGAAGACATCATTAACACAATGCCGACGGTGTTAATTGCGTATGAGAGAGAGAGAGAACGTTATGTCTTCAAGGCCGTCGCGAGTGATGACATCAACGAGAGAGCGAGAGTGTGAGTTTGGTTTTAAACCGAATCAAATTGATTATTTAGATCGTTTGAAAATTGTTATTATTATTATTATTATAACTTATCAATAGAGTCTTCATAACTTAGGTAGGTAATACCTACACTTGGTCGGACGGACCAACTAGAACTAAACCCGCTAAGTATATCAATATCAGTATATCACACGTATAAAAAATCTTTACTTAGTTTATAGGTACTCCGTCATATCCTTACGTCGGTAAAATCAAGAAAATGTAGTTATAATTGAGAAAAACGTAGTCACCATTTTTTTTTATTTTTATCGTGTGGAAATCCCCTCGGACCGTCACCCCACCGGGGTTTGCGGCGGGGTGGTGTGTCGGACTCGGACCGACTAAAACCACACGGTGTGCCACTCTGCGCCTGTAACAGGAGGATCCGGGAACAGCTGTTATTAAGACATCCGGACCCCTCCTAGCGCCAGCCCGCTCCTGGTGCAGGCTCCGTCTCAAAAATTTTTTTTTTTCCTCTCTTTAGGCGACGTCCGGCACACGCGGACGCCGCCCCCTCGCGGCTGGCCAAACTAATGCGGGTGGAGGGGAAACCCAACCCGTCCACCCGCGGCCACACTCAGGGCGGCATGAGTCGTCACCAACGTAGTCACCATCACCAACCGTTTTAAATTGAAAAAAAATGGTTTATTTCGGTTTCAAACGTTTTTTTTTGTTTTAAACGGATTGATTTAATTGGTTTTAAATCAGCCTTACACACACATATATATATATATATATATATACAGCCCTGAGGCGAACAGCAATGAGGCGGAGGGACCAGTCCTTTCTTAGATTTAAGAGAGACCGGTGCGAGGATAAGTGGAACAGTTATAAGACTGCACGGAATCGGTGTAATCAGGTGATACGCAACTCTAAACGCCAACACATTCTTCAAAACATAGAGTCCTCCTCTTCATCCAGTATCTGGAAATTTCTCGGTACTCTAGGTATTGGCAATAAACAACAACCTGAGTTTAAGAACACAATTGATTTGAACGATCTCAATCGTCATTTCTCATCCACACCCACGCTGGATCTACAAACCAAGGATCAAACGCTGAACTACATATCTGGTCTTACCAGTCCCAGTATCGACTCATTCGAATTTTCTCCGGTGCCTTCTGGGGACATCAAGAAGATTATCCTATCTATCCACTCTAATGCTGTGGGGCATGATGGCATTAGCCGACGCATGATTGTCACCATCCTGGACTATACTCTCTCGGTAATTACTCACATAATTAACTTTTCTCTAGACTCAGGAACCTTTCCCTCTCTGTGGCGTAAGGCGAACATCATCCCTCTCCCCAAAAAAAATAACCCTTCATTACCCGAACACTTCCGACCTATTTCAATTCTTCCCTTCCTGTCTAAAGTGCTCGAGACCTGTGTATACAAGCAGCTTTCAGAATTTGTACTGCTAAGTCCCCTACAGTCCGGTTTTAGACCTGGCCACAGCACTACTACCGCCCTCCTCAAAGTGACTGGGGATATTAGAAAGGGCATGGAAGACACCAAAGTTACAGTTCTGGTCTTGGTTGATTTCTCTAACGCTTTTAATACCGTCAGTCACGAAATTCTACTATCAATCCTTGAATACCTTAAGATGTCCCCAGAGGCACTGGAATGGTTCTCCACCTATCTTCAGGGGCGCCAGCAGTGTGTTCGCGTTCAGAACGTGTCGTCGAGTTTTTGCGATCTCCACGCTGGAGTCCCTCAAGGCGGAATTTTATCTCCTCTTTTATTCTCTATCTTTATCAACCTCATAACTCAACACCTTCAGTGTGCGTATCACCTATATGCCGATGATCTGCAGATATACTCACAAGCAAGGGTGGAGGATATAACGCGAGCCATCGATGACGTCAACAGAGACCTTGATTTTATAAAATCCTGGTCGATCAGATTCGGATTGTCAGTAAACCCTACTAAATGCCAGGCGATCGTAGTCGGCAGCAAACATATGATTGGAAGATTGGATACTGCATCAGTCCCACCAGTCATCTTCAACAGCTCAGTTATACCTTGGAGCCCGGTAGTCAAAGACCTAGGCCTGCTCATCGACTCAACCCTAGATTGGCGTGCTCAAGTTACTCATGTGAGCCGAAAAGTAACGGGTAACCTGCGAACACTATACCGACTTAAAAACTTCTTGCCCACTAAAACGAAAACCTCTCTCATGCAGTCCCTAATTGTTCCTATAATTGACTATGGTGTTGTGTGTTACTTCGACCTGAATGCAGACCTCCTCAATAAGCTAGACCGTCTTCTCAATAACTGCATTCGATACATATTCAATCTTCGCAAGTATGACCATGTGTCTGCTTTACGCTCCCAATTAAAATGGCTACCTATTCGCTTGCGTCGCAATCAGCGAGCGCTGACCTCTCTCTTTTCATTCCTCAACTGCCCATTTTCACCCACCTACCTCGATCCTTACATCCGTTTCTTGTCCTCTAATCACGACAGAAATCTTAGATCAACGAATAATTTGCTTCTCTTGTGTCCCCCCCACAACTCAGACTTCGTGAACTCCTCGTTCTTTGTACAAGTAGTTCTGCTCTGGAATGCGCTCCCACTCGAAATCAGGATGTCCACAAACCGTTTCGCATTTAAAAGGAATGTACATAATTACCTTCTTGAGGAGATGGCGGAAGTGACTTAACAAATGGTACACCTCCTATATTCAAGCATTCACAGTGTACAAACATAAATAATAAGTATTTATATCTATATTTATTTCTATATATATGTGTAATTATATTTGTATTACATTATAACTTATATGCATAATATTTGTAGATTTTGCTTAGTTTTAGATAAACAATTATTTACAATCATTGATACAATCGTAACCTCGGTGCACCTACCCTACAAGATTTCTACACCACCTAAAGGTTGGCTGGTAGAGAATGCCCAGGGCATTAAGTCCGCCGATGTACATAAGTGCAAGAAGATGTAAAATAAATAAATAAATAAATATATATATATATATATATATATATATATATATATATATATATATATATATATATATATATATATATATATATATATATAAATATATACACGGTGATTTTGAAAGCGTTTTGGAAAAGAAAATTTTGAATTATTTATCAATAACAGAAGCTATATATATAACGTTAATTTAATAAAATATTTTTTGTTTTTTCATCAAAGTCGATATTCATATCGTTTACAGAGAAAAAGTGAGAACCAGTAGTAGGGCTATTCAATCACACGTAGGTAAATACTACAAATAGAAATACTATGCGTTTTAATATCGAGTCACATAAAATCGTATTCGCCAATAAAAACAAAGCTACCGAGTTGCGCCGGAGTCGTCCAACCAAAGACGTATGCCGCCCCGTAGGCGCATGCGCGGGACTCACCTATAATCGTGAGGCGTCCTTCGCTTTCAGTCGGTCAGTAATATAAAATAATTTATTATAATAAAAATAAATAAATCATTTCCTAAAAAAACGTAATATATTTTCAAATTATAAGGAAATGATTTATTTATTTTAATAATTTTCTGTTTTTATTTTAATATATTTTTTAATTTTTTTTATAATTTTATGTATTTAATAATTTATTTTAATTAATTTATTTATTTTAATAATTTATTATAATAAAATAAATAAATCATTTCCTCAAAAAACGTAATATATTTTCAACTACCGATATTTATACCGATGCCAATGGCCACTCGATGGCATCTCAGTAGCGTGTCAGTGGTATGACACTGGCTTGTCGTGAACATAAAATAGCAGAATTGAGGCCCTGGAGTCTATCTACGTAAGTACTCGCTAGCTCGCGCCTATAGGTATACTTTTATCAGCTGCTGTTAGCGTCGGCGGTGCGCAGCGGCCGCCGAAACGCCCACGGACCCCACGGACGTGTTTCATTCATATAAGATAATGAATGAATGATCAGTCCATTACTACTTTCCAAGTCGATCGAGTAAAAATGAATATTAAAACTTTTTTTTAGTCAACATTACAATTGATTTAACCATTTTATTGGTACTATAGATGATTCCAAATTAAAAGGTTTCGTTTTCAAAACGCCTATAAAATCACCGTGTATATCCGTGCCTTTTTACGAAATCTCTCCAACAAATTTTAGGAAAGCGAGAAATAGATCAAGATTTTAAAAAAACCCCTATACCAACCCGTCTGGCCGGCGTGGTATAGTAGGCCAAAACCTCCTTTCTAAGGAGAGGCCTATGTCCAGCAGTGGACTATTAAAAGCTGTTGATGATGATGATGAAGTCCAACTACAGAGTCTCTATGCTATATCTATGCAAATAAATAAAATTGGAGTGTCTGTTTAGTTTTTCTGTTTTTGTTTTGAGTTTAGTTTTAGTCAAAATTATTAGTAGTTTTAATCCGTAAAATAAGTATAGATTATCCTTTCATAATCCACTGCTGGACTTTAATAGGCCCCTCCTTAGAAAGGCGGTTTTGACCTTCTATACTACGTTGGCCAGACTGTTGTGTTAGTTTGTGTGTTGGTGTCCATTTTTTCTTCTCTTTGCAGTGCTGTTGTTCTGCACAGTTTGTTCCCTATATATAAATGAGTTTTAATCAACTATTATGTAAAAAAATGTTAAATTTGTCTTTTCGACAGGAAAAAAAACACTTAAGAAAATTTATTAAACTCTTCTTTTTATGCATTATTCAACTGTTCTAGATTTATACAAAAATAAAGAGTAAAAACACTAGCATCTACAGTATTTGTATTAAGTAGTTTTTTTTTTATTTTATTTGTTTTATTTATTTGAGTTCTGGATTTCTGGTTCTCTTGAAATTTTCCATCTTATTTTTCTCTAATTACTACTATGACAGCTAGCTGTCCGAGTTGCTTCTCTGGATGGATAACCGCCAATTTCGTACATCAGGTTACAATATTATATCGGGTTAAGTATCGTTTTCTAATGTTCTTTAAATAATTTACTATAAAAATATAAAGGTAGGTATTTTTTAGTCACTTTCAACTGAGGCTTCTTTTAATCTATTCCAAATCAAATCTTGGACTATTAAGGCGTCTATAGATTCCATATTCCTTATTCTTCTTGTCTTGTGTGTTTTTACACCTACTATTAAGAGGATCACAGGAATAATTCGCATCATCAGAATTATCCATATTGCCAGTTTCTAATGAACGGTCATCACGTTTTATCAGATACGGAGAGAATCGCTTTTTATGTGATTGCTTAGGATTCATGCCAAAGTAAGATGGGTTCCGGTAAGGGTTGAAACCATGTGAGTAGAACGGCAAAACTATGATTGGCAGCTGATTGGACATGGCTGGTATGGCCTCGGATTTGGGCGTCTCTTTGGCAAACGGAGATGCAGCATTTGATATGTAACTAGCTAAATCTTGTGGCAGGTCAGGTAGGTACGGCATATTAGGAAACCCTGGAAATGGAACTGGAACTGGAATAGGCAGAGGTTGATTTTTTGGCTGTCGATAGAAAATAGGCGGCGGTCCCGTTGGTCCTTTGTGACATTTACAATGGTCTTGAAGATTTTGTAAAAGATATTGATCATTGTTGTGGTTGTGTGAAGAAATTATTCTTAGACTGGTGACAAACAGATAGATCAGCAGCAGGAATTGCATCATTATTGTCTGAGAAAAATAAAAAATAAAGCATTTAATTTGATACTTCTTTTAAAGAATTACCACTGAATTAATTGCGCCACATAATTAAGAATTGTAATGAACTCTATTCCTCAATTAATTGTGGTGGTTTTTCTTTAAATTAGAATGAGGACAACTGCTTCTGATACAACAAACATCTTAAGGAAGGCGCTACTTCATCACTAGCCTATAGCCGTATACTGCTGAAAGGTGGCCTCCTGCAAGGAGCGCCAAATATATCAGACTTAAAATATATTTAAGGCGCTACTTACTCTATATTTCATACTTAAGTCCCACCAAGTGTGGTGACGGATTAAGAATACCGAGTGTCACCACTCCTATTCATCCCGTGGGTGTAGTAAGAGTCGACTAAGGGAGCAAACTACTCAGGAAAACAGCACTGCAATGAGAAGGAAAATTTGACAAAAAACCCTTTTTATTTTCTTTTTAACGTGTGGAAATCCCCTCGGACCGTCACCCCACCGGGGTTTGCGGCGGGGTGGTGTGTCGGACTCGGACCGACTAAAACCACACGGTGTGCCACTCTGCACTCCTGTAATAGGAAGGATCCGGGAACAGCTGTTATTAAGACATCCGGACCCTTGACAAAAAAAAAAAAAAAAAAACCCCTATACCAACCCGTCTGGCCGGCGTGGTATAGTAGGCCAAAACCTCCTTTCTAAGGAGAGGCCTATGTCCAGCAGTGGACTATTAAAAGCTGTTGATGATGATGATGAAGTCCAACTACAGAGTCTCTATGCTATATCTATGCAAATAAATAAAATTGGAGTGTCTGTTTGTAATATTAAAATAACCGCTTTTTACTAAATGCATATGTATGTTAACACGGTACATATGGCAAAATATCATTTTTGCAATTTTTGTCTGTCGGTTTGTTCCGGGTAATCTCTGGAACGGCTGGACCGATTTCGACGAGACTTTCACTGGCAGATAGCTGATGACATAAGGAGTAACTTAGGCTACCTTTTTTAGACTAGCTTCGCCCCGCGGCGTTGCCCGCGGTTATAACAACAAACGCGGGTAACACCGCGGGTCTCAGTCTTTTAAATATAAATGCAATCATAATTCAATCACTTACCTTTCTAAGAAAGTACACTTAAACAACCACAAGTGCAACACACTGAGGCTTTTGTTACATGTCTCTGTGTTGATGTTTATTCAAATACAATGAAGAAGTATTATGTAGCCATACCACTATGTAATGACCGTTGGGTTATGTATTACTATTGAAATTTTCTTTACTGTTTACCTAACATACTTTACATCACTGAACGGTCACCGTTTCCCCTAAATGCTAGTGGGAATGTAGCACTTGCAACGCTCTTGCGTTTTGGAATCTCAGGTCTCCAAAGGGGGCAAACTAGCAGACGAGTCACCAACTCCTTAATAGTGATGTGCCGGATCGTTAACAAAGTATATCCGCGGATACGGATCCGAATACGGATATTTGGTGTCAAGATCCGCGGATACGGATACGGATCTTAAGTTTTTTACTCAATCGGAGCCCGTGACCTTGATAGTTGTCGCCACTTGACGCTTTGCCGTTGATATTTAAATATTTCATTATTTTAATAAGCTAATACAAAGATGTTTGATTGATCTCATTATAAAGATAGCTCTTTCAGTACCTACGACCTGCCTAGTTGATTTAGTATAGTACGATAAATGATTGCAATACAAATGTGCCAAATATTTGTATTAAAAAATAAAAAGTAATCTGCACAGAATTCAATAGTTTTTCATAGCCACCTAATAACCATTATTCAGGGTTATTTTAAATTTACTGAAAACCTCTGAAGTGCATATTAGTAAAATTATAAACAACAACTTTTCTTCTGGACTAACACCGAAAACGAAAGAAAAAAAATTGTTTCTCCATACAAACTAACAACATTTGATTGGTTATTTGAATGGACAACCAATTTTTTTTCATTTTGACATTGGCCAGAAAAAAAAGTTGCTGTTTATAGTGTTACAAACACATACCTAAGAGTTTTACAGTGAATACAAAATCACCTATATAGAATTTCATCTATGTAATATGTATTGAAAGATCCGCCAAAAAAGTCACGGATACGGATACGGTTACGGATCTCTCTTCTCCCTTGGATATCCGCGGATACGGATACGGATACGGATACGGATACGGATACGGATATCCGGCACATCACTACTCCTTATACCCTCAAAAGAAACTCCTGTATCGACATTTTTTTCCTGCTGACTTTAGGTTTTGTCGAAGAGTTCAAAAATACCTTTCAAACTTCAAAAAGTCAAAAAAAAAGTCGGACTGGGAATTAGAAATATAATTCCGTACATACGAAATAAACTAACTGACTAAAACGCCTAGTAGAATTCCCAGAATAACAGTTTCAGATGTACATTAACAAAAACAGTTTCCAATAATGTAACTTGGAATCAAATTTAGATTTAAAAAATTAATTCCTACCACCACCATTCCATCCACCTTCGTCATCAGACCGTCTTTACCAAGCTCAATCAATTGAACTCATCAAAAACTATCATAGTCGAGGAGTTCACTGAGGCAGTATGGTGGATGTCCCACCGGGTCATGCAGGTACTCTTGGAGCAAGGTTGCTTCGAACATTACTTTTGAGAGATCCGTGCTTTAACACATGGAGATATGAGCATAGAGAGAACATGGTGTACAGCTGCCTGTAAGTGTAAGCGATACAGGCAACGAGGAAGATTTATGTTCGATAGTTCCCTCTGTCTTTGTTTAGCTTAGCTGCGGTTCTGTATAATAAAGTGAGAATGGTTTTGATCGTAAAACATTCGGGAGATTAAAAAAAATCCCCAGCCAACCACAGAGCTCGACTAGAAAGAGATAGAGGGAACTGTCTATTCTCCATTTCTGTATGGTATCTGAGTGATACCACAGCCTCACTGAAAACTTAAAGCAAATCTTGCGCTGTTTTCCACCGAGTAGTGACATGACATGATGACACACCGACACAAGAGGAGGCACCCTGCCTCAAACTCTTGAGGCTCAAAGAGTACAACGCTCTTGTCTCTTGACTTGCAGGTGTTCATGTTACTTTTCATCAGGTGACCCGTTTGAAAAAAATGAACGTTATCAGGGTTGATGCTGATTCAGGTTTTCATCAGGATACTGATGATGATTTTTGAGACTGATATTAATAAGTAAGTTATTTTTTAATAAAACACAACACATACTCACATTAAAAGGTGAAAGTGTGTTTGTTTGTTCTGCTTACACGCCTACACGCTTAAACCGATTTTAAACATGATTTCACTAATGGAACGCTGCAGGAGGCGATGTCTGCGTGTGTCGGACGTCGCCTAAATGGAGTTTGTACCCGAAGGTGGTGCCCGCGCCGTTGCGGGCAGGCGCTAGGAGGGGTCCGGATGTCTTAATAACAACAGTTTCCGGATCCCTCCTATTACAGGCGCAGTGGCACACCGTGTGGTTTTAGTCGGTCCGATTCGGACACACCACCCTGCCGCAAACCCCGTGGGGTGACGGCCCGAGGGGGTAAAAACAAAAGCGAGACTACGAGCTACTTTTTACCGCGATAAACAACAAACACGTGGGCAGAGCCGCGGGTTAAAGTTAGTACTTAATAATTATGTTATTTTTGCTAACAAAATCCATTTCCATTCTATTCCATTCCATTCTATACTTATATTATAAATGTTAAAGCTGATAATCCGTGGATGCTGATACTGATATTCGCAATAATCCTGAACAATACCTCTGTCTAAAGACAATGTACAAACTCTAATTTAATTTAAAATAATTTAAAAATAAATATTTAGTAAAAGAAATGTTTGTACAACACACATTTTTATTGTAACTTGAATTATATTACAATAAAATGATTCACTATTTCATATCGGATTAGGTTTTAAAATTGCATTGCTAGCACATTTCTTAATGCAGTAAAAAGTTCCGATAAAAATGTTACCAAATACGATACACAAAATTCACAAGGCAGGAGTTAAATTACAGAAACATAAAGCATAAAATCACGTTTTTTGTCTCCAAAGGGGTAGACAAAGGCGTGTCTATATATTTCCAGAAAAATTAATGGAGTATAATGGAGATTACCGTGAGTTATTTAAATTCATTTTATTTTCATTGTAAGCCACCTGAGGACTCCTCACCCGAGGAGGAGTTTATATCACATCTTGATCATGTTGGCCCGCGCACCGAAATCTTCACCAATCGCAACACCGAACGCGCTCGCTCTCGAGAGCGAGTTGATATGAAATAAACTTGCACTAGGTCCTCTGATGGTAAGTGAAGACACACAAGATTTACAACTGTGCTCCACGATTTTGAGGTGGACCTCTGATAACCTCACTCACTCGAAGCAGCATCGAAAGAACTGCTCAACACCGATTTTCTGTATGACCGTTGTAACACAACATGGGAACATGGCTCTCATGCTCCCTAACGTGCTATTATTTGTCGTTTGGGAGAAATTATAAACACAAGCATTAAACGTTCATATTGACTTTATTTCAGATATTGCTACACCAATGGCCGTTACTAATACTTGTAAGTATGATAATGGCAGAACCCCAATTTCAAATGCCATATGGTCCAATAGGCGCGATGATAATAAACCCACCACCACCACCACCAATAGTAGTAGCTCCACCACCACGGCCAGTGCCTGTAGGTGTGCCTTTCCCTGTCGCTGTACCCATGCCTTTTGGCATACAAATAGAAGAAGAAAAAACGACTACGACCACCACTAAAAGTCCACGTCGAATACTTAAAATTTTTATGCCTTGGGGACCACTTCCGTTTCCAGTTCCAGCTCCCCAATCACCTCATTTTAGAGCAGCCTCCAATAATTGTACGAATAAAATTATACCACAGCCCCCACAGCCTCAGGGTTTCGCAATGCCTTTTCCCATGCCTATGCCGAATCCTCCGCCAATATTCATGGTGCCTGCACCACCGATTCACTTTATTAGGTCATCTTCAGCAGTATCATCTTCAGCAAGCGAAGACTCTGATTATTCATCGTCAAGTAGCAGCGATTCAAATTATGATTCAGATTCAGTTTCAGACTCAGATACAGACAGCTATCTAAGGAATAGAAAAAAGAAAAAAAGATATAAGAAAAGAAGTAACCGGTATGGTGTCTTAAGAAGCAATCGTCGCTACTTCAGTGATAGTAGCACTGCTAGTCATGAGGAACTGAAGCCTATGTTGAGTTACTTAGCTAAAAATGGAGATGTAAAAATAAACAAACGATTGAGTAACAGAGATGCAGCATTACTAATGGCAGATGAAAAGAAGCCGCGACAGGTGCAAAAGGTGCAAGTCATTGTTGGCAATGACTCTAATGAGAAATCGAGAGTGCGGGTAATTGCGCACTCTCCCAAAACAAGCAATAAAAAGGAGGAAAAGAAGAAAATAGTTTTAAGGCGGTCTTCGCAGCAGCTCGTGGGTGGTAACAAGGAGTTGGTATTTAGGCCACCAGGCAACAAGAAGATTAGTAATTTTTCTATGTCTTTTAATATAGCTGAATAATACTTATTTCTTGTAATAGAAAAGCGAATATCTATATTGATAATAATTGTATTGTTGACGACGATGATGATTAGGACCCATACGTGGTCTTCTTGGTTTAGTTGGACGATGAGTCTACTAATGGTTTAAATATATACATTATTTACATATTATTATGCATTTATAAATAAATATAGTTTTTTAGCTATGCACATACTACCGACCGCCACGCATGCATCACAATGAAATAGGAGAAGGTTTTGAGATGTTTTCTTGGGATATTTTAATTGTATAATTAGAGGATTCTAAAGCTTATTTTGCCTTAGCGAAATTGAGACTTAGTAACACGCTATCTGTCGAACCTTATGTTTAATTCAAGTTTGATCAATCATCAATCATCATCAACAGCCTTTACTAGTCCACTGCTGGACATAGGCCTCTCCTTAGGAAGGAGGTTTTGGCCTACTATACCGCGCTGGCCAGACGGGTTGGTATAGGGTTTGTTTCAAGTTTTCCTTCTCTCTGCAGAGCTGTTGTCCTACGTAGTTTGCTTCCTTAGTCGCCTCTTACTACACACGGACGGGTTAAGAATACAGAGTTTGATCAATATACCTAAATACTTTATAAATTATTTTATGATGGACTTTTGTTTTGTTGGGCAGTGTTTGTAAAAATTAACAGGAAATGACTAACTAAAGAAATTGCTGCGAAATCATGAAAATACTCACCGGTAATTAAGTAGTTGGTTTAGAATTTATTTTTATTTAAGTCTAGTATTGTGTTTTATGTTTTTCTTTTGGCTTTTTCTATTTCTTATTTAAAGTGCCAACAAAATGTCATGAAACTGTAGCTTAAGCAAATTCTTTAAGCGTCACAATAATCATGTGTAAAATGTAAACAAGTTGTTGAGTTTCTTATCAATAAACAAAATAAAAATATTTATTTTCATAAATTTGTAAGTCCAGTGGGTTTTTGTTTTACAAGCCTTCGATGTAAAACAACAGACAGCTCAGATAACTGCAAATTCTTCTACAGAATGTATTTTGATTGGTTTGCAGTAAAAAAGTTTCTACAGTGACGAGCAGACGGGTCACCTCTTGGTAAGTGACTACACATACAACTCAAGAGTCAAGGGGAAAAGAGGGGGGGGGGGGATGAAGTGACGGCACTTGTCCGTCACTTAACCCCCCCCCCCACTCTTTTCCCCTCGGGAAATAGCGGCTTAAGGCCCCGGTGACCCCATGCATGAGTCAGTACACACGTGTCGAAGCATGGCTCTTCCCCGACTCCTAAAATATAGTTTATAACATGATGATAATATGTAGATAACTCTTGTTTATGTGGCAGGAGCAAAGAATATAGAAATATTTCTCAACATTTTATTATTAAAGAAATTTGTAAAAAAAATATTATTTACACTATTTTTATTAATTAAACATTATTGTGTTTAATAATTATATGGTCTTGTCTTATAAAAAGAAAGTAGTAGGCCAAAACCTCCTTTCTAAAGAGAGGCTTATGTCCAGCAGTGGACTGTTAAAGGCTGTTGATGATGATGATGATAAAAAGTAATATAATTTTTGCTTTGTTTACAAAAAATATTATAGAATACCTGATGAATCACGTAGATTCGATTGTACGTTAATACAAATTAAAACCCAACCTAGATTATCTATGTGTGTTATTTCGTGTGTTTGTTTATGAAGAAGGATTTAAATGAAGTGGTCCTATCAATTTTGTTTTTTAAAAAGAACTATCAAAATTCATTACAAAATATAAGAAATAAAAAAATGAAAAAATTATCCAACCCCCTTAAAACCAGATTGCGTGAAAATGTATAAGTATTTTATTATTTACAAATTTACGTTTGGGCTACAGAACATGCAAAAGAAATTTACATACGTACTCAAAAAAAAACTACTCAAAAAGAATTTAAAAAGACATTAAACAACACTAACAAAGAGCACTAAAAGCCTATCAGCAATCGTTGGTTTTTTCAGATTCAGATTCAGATTGTTTATTTGAATAACACAGGTATTAATTACATGGTATTCAAATAATTATAAATATCCGAATTGACAACCTTCTCCTTTTTGAAGTCGGCTCTTTTTAGCGCAGTTGGGTTTATTACCCAACTGAGCTAATGAGCGCAGTCATAGAAATATCTACTTAATGTAAAAGACAACAATTAGAATAAGAATAAAGATATTATGTACAAATAATTTTGATATTCTCAATATTTAAATGTTGCTCACAAATCCCAAGTAATCCCAAAAAATATGTAACGTACGTAACGATTTCCGTTTTTTTTAGCAATAATAATTATATATCGTAAAAAAGCGTATTTTACCAATAATCATAAAACTAAACTTGGCACTACTTTACGTAATACAGAACGATTGCAGATTAAAATTATAACAAAATCTAACGTTTATATAAATTAACTTTTAAACTTACGCTTTTTTATGATATATAATTATTATTGCTAAAAAAACGGAAATCAAGGCGATCAATATTTATTACATAGTTGAATGACCAGGCTGCACTGTCGTGGGCACAAGTGCTTGTGGGAATTCTCGTTTCTTAGTAATATTTATGTACCAAAATACAATCTTGAAACAGTTTTCACTGGCATCTCATATAAAACAAAAGCACTGCAAAATTTTCACTTTCCAGAAAAATATAATGGCCAGACGTAATTTGGCTCGTCGCTTTTGTAACCTGGTAACCAGGGCCAATATTGCCTTGGCTTCATAATCTCGTAAGGGACGTTACATGGCCTGCAGTTCTTAAAGATCTTCAGTGAGTTACACATCTGGATCATGAGGATAATTAGTTTGAAATAACGTATCTGTAAAATTACGAGGCTGGTATTAAATTAATAACATTAGCAAATACAAAAGGGCAATATAAACTTCTGGGTCTCAAACTGTACAAGAATAATTATCAGACGCAAGTTATTAAACACTGACCTCTCCAAATTCTCATGTTCATAGCACCATCTAAGGATTTCTAAGCGTATAAAACCTTGATCAAGTGCTTTATATGCCCAGCACTGACTAGTATAAGAACCAAATATTCATCGGAGCGTGTCGGAAGGTGGCCAGGTGGCAGTGGTGCCCTACTCTCTAGCCAATACCCATTCTAGGATCTGATAACACTACAAACACGCGCAAAACTTACTTTCATAGTAACAATGTCCTGTTCTATCCGACTGTTTGACTTCATTGAACAATTTAGGAAATTAATCACACGCTTTATATAAACGTGTTTCATTGTTTTCTAGACTGTTACGATGCCTTTAAGTTACAAGTACAGTACATACGAGTACCTATGCTGCTGATGAATTACGTAATTTTTCTCTGATCTTTACAAAAGCCATTTTACAAAATACGCTAAACATTTTTACAACAATTTTCATAACAAAGGGAGGAAACGAACAGACGAGTGACTTGATCATAAGTGGCTGACGCTGCCAATGGACACTTGAATTTCAAAAGAGATAGAAAATGCCGTGCTTTGAGGATCCCCAATTGTGACTGGCTCTTTGAGTCTCCGGTGACTTCACTTAAGTAACCAAAGAATGGTTAAATACCGGTTTTCTGTGAAGCCGTATTATAACTCCAGTGAAAGCATGACCAAACCATGGGCTCCCACATGTATAGCTGATATTTTTCAGGATTAGATTCAGTAAAACAAAAGTATTATAAGTAAAAAATGCATAGCAAAGTTTTATTGCCTGAAAAATTATAAAAAAAAACTGATAAAGCTAGTGATTATGGTGCTTTCTGTTTCTTGAAGTTTTTTCAAAGTACTCATCGCTATGGTCTTTAGAGAGCTCCAGCCAATCCTTAGCCTTCTCTTTTTTAATCTTCTTTTGGTAAATTACATAGCCATCCTTTGTCACGTATGAAACTACGGGAGTTAAAATTTCCTGTCTCTTGTTCTTTGGAGACCTCAGATCATTATTGTTACGGAATTTCATCTCTTCCGAAGAACAAGATTCTTCAGAAGACGATGAGCCTTTGGAATGCTTACGGTTGCGCCTTCTAGTTTTCTTTTGTTTCCTTCTCTTTTCATTTTTCTTTGTGTAATGGGGCATTACCACCATTGGTAGCCGGCCTCCATTTAAAGGTGACTGCATCCCGGACATATGCATTCCTGGCATATGTGGCATATTTGGCATGAGTGGCATACCTCCCTGGGGCATTTGTATGTGAATTGGTTGCCCTTGAGAGCCGAAGAAAGGAAAAGAACCTTGGGGCATTTGTGCCATTTGTGCCATTTGGGCCATCTGCGGCATATTTGGCATGAACTGTGCTGTTACCGCCGCGAGATGCAGCAGTAATACTCGTAATATAACTTGAACAGCCATCTGCAATTTTTAAATTGATAAGGTTTTGGTATTAGCTTCCTTAGGTTTTAAATCAATATTTTTAGATTAGTATATTAACCGTTACTGTTAATTTTCTAACTCATGGTCTCACTGCATTCATTGAAAGCCTTAGTAGGTGCGAAAAAATTGTCAAATCATAACAGTTATGTGACTTTAAGGAGGAGGGGACTTCCATTCGATTTTAAGTAAAAGTGAATTTTAGCTAAAAATATTAGAACTTATTTGATTAAAAAAATTATCCAGGCTCATTATGTTACATACATAAGAACCGACTATTTATGTTGGTCCTTATCGCCGATTATTAATGTTACAAAGGTTTAAGATAACGAATCTAAAATGTATAATCCTTTAAATGGTTACGAGTATTAGTCAAAAGTTAAATTCAATCGACTGTAATAGTCAGTAGAGTATATTGTTGTATATTTAATCAATTTTACATGTATTTTATTCTTATTATAAGTATGTATTACTCTTTTAATAAAATTGATGATTGTAAGAAGATGATTTGAATTTTGAGGCACACTCTTTATAGTCACAACTTAATTAGGCCATTTTCTAACAGGCGGTAACAAAATATTTGTGTACAATTTTCTTAAGTCGTTGTTTGGTTCTTATATATCTATTAAGATACATACCTTAACTTCGAGAACTTCTACGTCATCATTTAACAGTTCCTAGTTGGGTAATTATACGTGTATTGAGAGGAAAATCACATTTTAACTCAATAAATACCAGAATGAGGTTAGCGCACAATGGCTTTTTAAGAAACTACTAAACATAGTTACATAAATATTTCGTGATGCATATACAGTACATACAACTAGTATTTTTTTATGTAATAGGGGAAAACGAGTAAGCTTGTCTCCTGATCACCTGATGGTAAGCGACTATCACTGCCTATGGACATTTGCAAATCAAGGGATACAATTAGTGATGTGCCGGATCGTTAACAAAGCATATCCGCGGATACGGATCCGAATACGGATATTTGGTGTCAAGATCCGCGGATACGGATACGGATACGGATCTTAAGTTTCTTACTCAATCCGGAGCCCGTAGCCTTGATAGTTGTCGCCACTTGACGCTTTGCCGTTGATATTTAAATATTTCATTATTTTAATAAGCTAATACAAAGATGTTTGATTGATCTCATTATAAAGATAGCTCTTTCAGTACCTACGACCTGCCTAGTTAATTTAGTGTAGTACGATAAATGATTGCAATACAAAGGTGCCAAATATTTGTTTTAAGAAATAAAAAGTAATCTGAACAGAATTCAATAGTTTTTTATACCTAATAACCATTATTCAGGGTTATTTTAAATTTACTGCAAACCTCTGAAGTGCATATTAGTAACATTATAAACGACAACTTTTCTTCTGGACTAACACCGAAAACGAAAGAAAAAAAATTGTTTCTCCATACAAACTAATAACATTTGATTGGTCATTTAAATGGAGGACCATTTTTTTTTTCATTTTGACGTTGGTCAGAAGAAAAGTTGCTGTTTATAGTGTTACAAACACATAACTAAGAGTTTCACAGTGAATACAAAATCACCTATATAGAATTTCATCTATGTATTGAAAGATCCGCCAAAAAAGTCACGGATACGGATACGGTTACGGATCTCTCTTCTCCCTTGGATAACCGCGGATACGGATATAGATACGGATATCCGGCACATCACTAGATACAATACATCTTACACATTTCACACACGGCCGTCTGATCCCAAACTAGGCAGAGCCTGTGCTATGGTAACCAGACTGCTGCTAAACATACTTATATATTTTTAAATACATACATATTATAGATAAATTACACCCAGTCACAGAACAAATGACCGTGCTCATCACACGATACTTACGTTACGTTATGTTCATTGACGGCGGTAGTCACTTACTATCAAGGTACCCGTCCCGTTTTCCCCTTTGCCATAACAAAAAGACAATCCTGGAGACACGTACGCGTTCCTTTTTATATTTCAAAACAGCACAGGAAAATTATTCATTGATAGGGTAACCAATTCAATGGTATTATTAATCTAGTTATTTTGTTTGTGTTTTTTTTAAACATTCTTTTACATCGTTGCCTATCTGCCGTGCCAATCCAAAACACTGTAACTTTTGAAAACGACTTTTGACCTTGAAAGCTTTGTTACAGTTTTTCACCATGTTAAAACCCTAATTTAAATACAGTATTTTTAGATTATTGTCTCTTCTAAAATACACTTTAAAAAACAAAAGTGTTGATCAAGGGTACTAAACCGACGTAAAGAAACTGATTGAGCGTTGTTAAGGCAAAACACTGTAAGTGGAGTGTCAGTCTTTTGGATTGGCACGGTAGCAACTGTTGCCATTTAGAACGAGCACTCGGACTCCATGACTCCTAGTGTTTTGACAACAAAGAGCTCAAAATATAATTACTGATTAAATTGATGTAGTTTGAGGCTTTGCTGCTTAATCCGCATTCCATTACTAGAACACGGTTTTGGCCTACGCCTACTATATAACGTTGGCCAGATGGGTTGATAAAGGGTTTTTTTCAAGTTTTCCTTCTCTTTGCAGTGCTGTTGTCCTGCGTAGTTTGCTCCCTTTGTCGGCTCTCACATGATGAATAGGGGTATATATAGGGAACAGACAGAGAGTATTTAATATAATAAAAAATATTGTCGTTACTGCTTAGAACATTTTTAATCTCTTTTAGTGATATCTTAGGGAGGAGCGGAGCACCCATGGGCCTCAGCACTCCGGGCGATCACCCGTGTCACCCAACCATAAAGCAGGCAGGGCCCATTTTATTATTTAACCGTAAGTTTTAGTTTTCATTCTAGGCTAGTAACTGGTTAATCTCAATCCAATATTAACAAGCCATTTATGAATGGCAATACATAACCGCTGTATTGTAGGTGCGTTACGTAATGGCGTGGTGGTGCCATTGTATTTGTATCAACACCTGTTAGAAACATCTTACAAAAGGCTCAGTTGGCGCTTGCACTTGCATTGTGGATCCTGAACCTCGTTGACCAATGGAATCTTACAGGTAAGGGCTGAAATTTTTGTTTCAATGATTTTAATATAAAAATATTATTATGTTAGCCGGCACACAGCTCTTTTTGCGTTAATAACGATTTGTCAATCAATTTGCCGAGAAAAAGATAGCTTGTGTACTACTCTAGAGTACGTAGAGTCGTAGTAGTAGTAGAATACTCTAGAGTAGAGATCTTCTTGTTCATAATCTATCGAAATTTTCGCATGTAGGTATGTTATGGTAAAAATATAATTTACTTGAGAATCCTAGATCGCCTAAGATTTTATTATAAATGATAGATTAATTGACTGAGGGTGATTCTATTGGACATAGTCGGTACTCTGACTGCCTCGGTGGTGCAGTGATAGCGTATGCGACTACTGTGCTGAGGTCTCGGGTTCGATTCCTAGGTCGGACCAAATGTTTCTATGATCTGCAAATATTTGTTTTATATGTATAATATGTATGTATTTACAAAAAAAGTATATAAGTATTCTATTAGTCAATATAGCTTTCATAGTACAAGCTCTGTTTAGTTTGCAACTAGATGGCGTTGTTTGTCAGATGTCAATGAAAAAGTCTTAAAGTGTACACATTTTTTTTAATGATTTTTTTAAGGCGGATCACCTGATGGTAAGTCACCCATGGGCACATGTACATTGTACATTGCGGCTCTTGCAGTGCTTGAACTTCCCTAACTTCCCTAAGGAGGAAGCGAGGGGGGGGGGATTTTCCTCCTGTAACCTCACTCAATCAGTGATAGCCAAATTGCTTAAAACCGGTTTTCTGTGAGGTGTGTGCTTTAATATGGTTCTCCCACGATTTAATTTTAACAGCACTTAAAAGCGGATAATTATTGGACAATAAGAAGAGTATAGAATATCTAGCGAATATTAAATTACTTATTTCCTGTATTTTTATTTCTTTCAGATAAATGATGATCCAATCGCTGCAGGTATATCAAATTCTTCTCAGTCTTATACTGGTACTGGCCAAAAAAGACGACCTCGATCTGCCAATATGTCCCCAGAATGTACAATTTCTTCCACAAGAGCTGCCGATGCATTGTAGATTGCCAAGAAGTACTGACGCACAGGCGGGTCCATTTCCCATCTTTCAAAATGCGGAGAAGCAACCCTTTCAGTTTCCACCACTTCCCTTTCCTGGTCTACCTGGTATGATACCTGGCATGCCACCAGGCATGTCACCACGAATGCCACTTAATCTTCCACAAGGTTTGCAACCAAATTTCCCGCAAGGTTTGCCACCAGGTATGCAACAAGGTTCACCTGATCCCTCAACGGGAATGTCAAAGGCTATGCCAATGCCGATGCCAATGCCTATGGCAATGCCGGGAAACTCACCCCATAAAATGCCTGTCATAGTTATGCCCTTCTACTCACAGGATCGAAAACCATTCAAAAAACCACCACACCACAGTAAGCATTCATCAAAAAGGCCACATAAGAAGCGACCACATTACCACGGCACATCCGAAACAGATAGTGACGATGATTCAGATGAAACGTCTGATTCAAAAGAATCTCGTGAAGGATGGTGGAAGCCGCCTAGGAAGGGCAAAGGAAGTAAAAAGTACGGAATATACAGACGTTCTAATACCAGACACCACAATATAAAGAAAAAGAAAAAGGAAGTACTGACACCGATTCTTCAGTACGTCACAAAAGACGGATACGTTATTTTTGAAAAAAGGATAACTAAAAACGAAGCTAATAACTGGCTAGAACCAAAAGATCAAGCTAAGGCAAAGGACGAAATAAATTTTAAAAGAAGACTTGAAAAACAAATACAGGACGACGTGGTTGAGCAAGAAGAAGAAGAATTTATTCCAGACGAAATTAAAAAACCAAAAGAGAAAAAAGAAAAAAGCAATGAAGTGAAAGAAGTAAACGAGGTTGATGAAACGGAAGAACCAACCACAGAAAACCATCCCAAAAGACATAAATTAAAAAAATATGGATCTCTCCTTGATGACGGTTCATAACATAATAAAATCTAAATTTTATATTTTTGTACAGTACTTATAACTAATAAATACACGTAAAGAGATCATATTTTGACCTTTTATTTTGTTTTATATAAATTAATCGTTGGCCTTGTTTAGCATATATCATCCGGCTCGACTGGACCTCGGCCATACAGCAAACCGTGATAGGCAACCCTTTCGTTGCTTTCATCGAGTGAATAAGGTTACAAGTGGCTCAACCGTTTCCTTCCCCCATTTGTTTTGCACGCAGCATCACACCTATGTCTCTCGAATTGCCCTTGTCCACAGGCGGCAGTAGTCACTTGCTACCAAGTGCCCCCTATACTGTAAAAATATCATACAATAATACTCTGAAGTCAAACCAGCAAATTTGACACATCTCTTACACTGCCGTCTGATCCCAAACTAGGCAGAGCCTGTACTATGGAAACCAAACTGCTGATAAACATACGAATATATTTATAAATACATACATATTATTGATAAATTATACCCAGACACAGAATAAATAATCGAATCGAACCCACGACCTTCGGTTTAGCAGTCAGGGTCACTAACCACTAGACCAACAGGCGTGTACGTAAGTAGAAAACTGAACTAAGTACCTAACTGTTGCATTAAGTTTGTCTCTCCTGTTTGATCAAAGATTTTACTTTTAATCTTCAGAAGGCTTTAATGTTGTAAATAAAATAAATGAAAACTTCATTAATCCTAACATTAACGCGAATTTTAAATTTTTTGTTGTTTACACTTTCGTCCCTTTGATGATGATCGAATAATTGTACCGGATCATCTTAAATTTATAGGTGCGATGGAGTGCGGGGAATCATGTTTTAATCTTTAATATTGTATAATATGCTATTGAACTAATAGCGCTGGTACTAGTACTACTTTTGGGCAGGTAGCAACAATTTTAGCCGTAACGGAAATTTGTGCAAACTAAAGATCTACATTAGGTCTACTCCTAAATTTATTCGTGCAAATACGAAAAACGTGGAAATCACGTGCGGTAATGTTTCACGTGTCACGATCGCAAGTAGCACGTGCTGGAATGCCTACAAACATCGACTGTGGTAACTTAATATCTTACTTGATAGACAGAGAGTGGGACATATAGTTATTGCTGACAGTGTATTTGTAAGATTCACAATTGTACGATTGCTCTTTGTCAAAGTTCTAGAATAAGTAGTTCTAGTTCTGTTATAAAATGCTTCAGATACTGCTAATCATTCTGATTTATTAAGCAATTTGAAATTTATCTAACATAAATCTCCTGGCGGTTGAATTTCGACCATTTTGTCGTTGTACCATGACAGGTCAAAATATGTATTGAACACTACAGTGTTGTATAGATATTTTATTAACTTTTTAGCACTTATTGTTTAAGAACGTTGGCTTTGTGTAAATGTAAATTATTACAAATATGGTATGCTTTGGTGTACCATATTTGCTTAGTGGGTAATATAAAGATTTTTCTTCATGGATGTACCTATAGAATTGTAGTTACACACACAGTCATTTATTCACGGTGACGGTGGTGACGAATTAAGAATACAGAGTATCACCACCCCTATTCATCCCGTGGGTGTCGTAAAAGGCGACTAAGGGAGCAAACTAGGCAGAAGAACAGCACTACAGAGAGAAGGAAAACTTGACACAAACCATAGGGTTTGTGTCAAGTTTTCCTTACACTACTACACCACGACGGATTAAGAATACGGAGTGTCACCACCCCCATTATCCCGTGGGTGTCGTAAGAGCCGACTAAGGGAGTAAACTACGCAGGACAACAACACTGCAAACAGAGAAGGAAAACTTGTCACAAACTATACCAACCCGTCTGGCCAGCGTGGTGTAATAGGCCATAACCTACTTTCTAAGGAGAGGCCTACGTCCAGCAATGGACTAGTAAAGGCTGTTGATGATATGTTTTTATGTAAGAAGGGGCAGACGAGCAGACGGGTCACGTGATGGAAAGTGACTGCCGTAACTCAGGAGTCACAAGTGCGTTGCCAGCCCTTTAGGAAGGAGTACACTTCTTTATTGAAGCTTTTATGTGTTTATAGGTACCCCTTTTTTACTCACTACAATCTATTTTAGAAGTTTTGAATTATCATTCTATTATGTTTTATTTTGGGAGTCGTAGATACAGAACTATCAATAGTAACATTATAAAGATGTAGAATTTGTTTGTGTATAGGATCTTTGAACCGATTCTGGAAATTCTTTTACTAATATGCAGCTGCATTATTTCTGAGTGCTATAGTCATGTTAGCAGGTGTAGCTGAGGCCGACAGCTAGTTAAAGATACAACTATTTAAAGATACGAAATATTGGTTTGTTTAGCTCTTTGGCTATGTTTAATAATTGAATGAAATTTTAATTTTATGGGTTTTAGATAACTTAACGTAACATAGTAAAACTGAATGGTTATAAGAATAATTATAATCGCACAAAGGAGCAGCAGTTTCTGCGTTTTCGCACACATTTCGATTTTAATGCGTAATAAGAACCGTAAGTTATCAATAATATTTTAGATAATATCAATTTTATATAAATAACAATTTTGGACACCCTAGCAGATTCATTACAACCTTATATATTTTTAATACATAGGTATATGTGTTTATGTAACTAAGTAAGTATTTATGTATGTTTTTGTTCTTCGTACTACTTGGTATTTCTGTCTAACTTCTCAATAATTTTCTCTTACTTTACATATCAATGTCTAGTGCACCTAGACATCATCATCAGTCTATCGCAGTCCACTGCTGGACATAGGCCTCTACCATTGCACGCCACTTAGATCGATTTTGGGCCTCTCACATACAGCTCCTGCCAGCCATCTTGCGTGGCATTGCCATTGTACAATTCATATTTGTTGATAAAGAATTAAATAAATACATTAAATCGTTTTTTCGTCCTAAAAATATCAACAGTTTATACCCTTCTTTCTTTCTCGTTGTAATAAGAAAACCCTATTCGGTAGCATTAAATAAAAGTTTCGGGTAGACAGGACGAGAACCTGCCAGCTATCAGAATATTTAATTGATTGCATCTAGCAGATGTCTATATTTTATGGTATCGAATCTGCCCTCACAGAGGTTTGGAAACAGCTAAGCAATACTATGCTGTTTACCTTTTTTTTATAAAAATGAGACGCAAATTCAACTGTCAAATGACTAAAGCTAATGGAATTTAACAGTTTATATTGTATAGTAACTACAACCAAAAATTTCAAAATATTTTGGTTGAATAATATTTTCAACGTTTCAGGTGGCGATGCGCAAATTATCATTATTGATAATTGTGGCTGCAGTAACAGCAGTACCTCGATTTCCAGTACTGTACGCTCCAATGGCTGAATTCTTCATGCCCCCGCCACCACCAATGCCCTTGGGAGTGCCAATACCCATTCCAGTACCTGTACCAATTGTAAATGTAAAACCGATATGTGCACCAACTACCACTCTATGCCCACCATGCCCATGCAAACCCAAAATCCCACCACCCAATTGTGGTTGTAAATGTTTACATCCAATCCCCCCAAGGCCTATCATTGCGCCTTACCTACCATCGTTTATACCCCCTTACAGACTACCTTACAAACCACCTTACATACCAAAGCCTATTAAATATATATCCAGTTCCTCTAGCAGCGAAACAAGCTCTGATTCAGATGATTCAGACTATTCATATAGAAAGAGAAGGAGAAGACGTCGAAGGAAAAGGAAAAGATATGGTATTTTCAGAGCAAATGGAAGAAGATTTAATAATAATATCAGAGATCAAGAACTCCAGCCCGTTATTAGTTATGTATCTGAAAACGGAGACGTTAAGTTTAGGAGACGTATAAATAAGGATAATGCCGCTTCACTGTTACAGCAACAAGTGCTTGATGGTAAATTTAATGATAAATCGAGAACGAGATTTACTCCCAAACCTTGATAGAATTATTTGCCAAAAATGAAAGTCGTGCACATTTAAAGTTCTGGATTATACAAAACCACTTTATAGTGTAGTCAGTGAGATAATTCATTGAAGGGTTTTACCCAAAAAAAGGATCATTGCCATCGATGACACAGCTTTGGATTTAAAACCACCACAGTCTTGAGAGTCATTGAAACAATACTTGGATAGCTTTTTTTGGAGAATGCCGTAAGTGCAAATAAATTTGCATATTAAAGTTACAAATTATATTTTAACTACAAAATTAGTTAAGAGGACATTTGTTTCCACTGTCTCCTTTTAACTACTTGTTGGTTTAATGGCATACACCTGTATGCATTTTCAACATCAAATGTGCGTAACACTTGTGGACAATTTCTCGAAGTCTAATCGAAGTCGATCTAAGTCATTTAATGGCATCAATTTAATACAATAATGCAGCAGTATTAATATACAAACTTATCATAGCTAGAATTTTAGTGTTCTAAAACATTTATGACATGTTCATATATGTTTTGTAGATGAATTTATTTAGTTTAATGTAAATTATACTTATGTTTTTCTATGAATGCTGATGAGAACTTTTTTACTTAATTATAAGATTAAATATACAACAAGGGTATATTATTTTATTCCAAAAAGTATTTTCCAATACCTTTTTTATGATAACCAAACAAGCTAATGGATGGACAGTTGCATCTCGAAAGAAACAAGTGTGTGGACATCCTAGAGTCGAAGACAGGACATCGAAGAGTCCCCCATCCTAGAGTTAAGGGGAGGTTGGTTCTCCTGTAACGTCTCTCACTCTGTAAAAACTACAAAAGAATTGTCTAAACCTGTACCTGTGTGTATGTTCCAGAGAATGGCACTCCCATAGTAGAATGTTTGTCTGTCATATCTTTGCATATCATCATCATCATCAACAGGCTTTCATAGTCCACTGCTGGACAAAGGCCTTTCCTTAGGAAGGACGTTTTGGCCTACTATACAATACGTACGTACGTACCTACTATACAAATACAATTTGGCCAGACGGGTTGGTTAGGGTTTGTTTCAAGTTTTTTTCTCTACTTACTTATAACAAGAATAAAACAATGACATTATAATTTAACCTTTTTTATGAATGTTATATAAAATTAAAAAATAAATAATATAACTACAAACTATTTTGTATTAAAAGATACCGAAAGATTTCCAATCATCATGTCAGCTGGAGGCCTAAACATAATTTTCTTCTTGCCCTTACTTATATATGGGTATGTTATGACTCTTTTGATCGGCTCGACAGTTGTTATTTGAAAATTCTGCAAAGAGTCATCACCCATTAGCAAGGAAACATCGCTTTTACTTAATCGTCTTTCTAGTTTAACTCTTCCATCAGAAGACATAAAATTGAGAACTGGCTCAGCAATCAAATTATCACTGCGGTCAAGATCTAAGCGTCTATTACTTCTTCTGTATTTGCTGTAATTGTGTTTCCTATTCAACTTTTTCTTCTTCTTTTTCTTCCAATAGTCCTCACTGCTATCGCATTCACTGTCTTCTTCCCTTGACTTTTCCTTTTTAGGCCTCTTAGGACGTCCAATAAATGGTGGATAAGGAATAAATGGCGAGTTAGGGAAGTGTCCTGGGTAGGGCATGGGGAAAGCTGGACCTGAAAATAAAAAAAGTGTTAACACATCAAAGTGCAAAGTGACATTTGAAAATACAAAGTTTACCCAAATAGGTGAAGACAAGATATAATTTAATGGGGCAACAAATATTTATGGTAAGATTTTTTAAATTGCTGGACAAATTATTGAAAGGACAGAGACAGATCAAGACCTCGGTGTCATCGCTCGATAGTTACTACAACGGGCCGTAGATCCAAACGAACAAGGATAGCACAAAAAAAAAGTGTCGTAATAATTGATCTCCATGTACTTCCACCAATCCTAAAACTTTTTTTAAAATGATGCCGATTCTTTTGCTAGATCTAATAATATATCTAATTTTTCTACTTAATTCAAATTTTCGTTTCTGGTTTTTATTGATAACAGAGCTATAGCTTAATAACAATACTGTTCTGAAGAGTATTATGTTCAACAAACCTGGAAGAGGGAATGGTGCCCTTGGTGGGGGAACAAGAGGTACATCTTTAGGGTTTCTACATCTACATTTCTGGTGGCATGACGAACAATAGGAAAAAAATGATGGTGTACATGGAGAGCAAGAGCACGGTGGGCATGGTGGACAGTTAGGGTGTTTTCTGTTCTTCTGGCAAACTGAAGACATCATACCCGGAACAGCGAACAATACAGGCGATGGTGCAGGCATCGGCATGGGGAAAGGCATTGGCATAGGAAGAGCAATTGCAATTTCATCATTCTTGGATTTATCTGTCGTTGTTGCCACCTCAGTCGTTGTTGACGTTGCGTCATCATCTGATACTATCGCAAAACCTATTTGCATCTGCAAGTTCAACGGTGGCGATGGAGGTAATATTGAATCTATCGACGGCTGGGCTGGCATCAACGGAGATGGTCCTGGCATCATGGGAGGTGGTCCTGGCATCATTGGCATCATAGGAGGCCGTGCTGGCATCATTGACATCATCGGTGGTTGTCCGAACATTGGATATATTGGGAATTGAGGATTCGCCACAACGACAGTCATAAGTATAATTGGCCATTTTTGAATCGCACCCTGAAAGAAAAAGAAAGAAATAAATGCTGACTGTCCTTGAATGACAAGTCAAATATCTCGTAGAGTTCAAGGCCACGAACTCATTATGTTCATCCAGTCTTAAAATACTATAAATATTACTAGGACAAGACATCAATTTGAAATAATCTAGGAAAGATCACAAAATAATTAAAAGAAACTAGGGTATTAAACATAGCAAAAACTTACGGAAATCATTCCTGCACCGACACATGCCTTTGTTGATTTCGTGCAGTCGGTAACACGCGCGTACTTATATACAATTTACTAAAATGCATAATGGTGTATTGTGATGAAAAGAATGCATATGACTGGTACTTTTATTTCATAACGTTTACTGTGGAGCATAAGGACATTAAATAATAGGAGAAAAATCCATCAGTGGTTGAAAAGCGGGTTATTCATTTGCGTGGAATGTAGATACTTCAAATTTAATCCCCGAATTCACTCGTTTGTTTTTGTAGATTATGATCAAAAGTTTAAAGTAAAAAATTAAGATTGAAAGTTCCTGATGTCTTTGAGGAGAATAATACTTTAATTCCTAAATTAAAGCTAAGATTGTTGTGGAAAAATAACATTGACAGAAAGCCGCGTTTTAACATTGCTTTTCAATTCTATTTGACAGTTTGAAGAAAAAGAAGAATCAGAGTGTACACGTACCTATAACATACACGTACGTGTACACATTTGTTTGAAAGTATAGATACATGGGCTTGTCTAAATTAAAATTATATTAAATATCGTATTTCCCTACAAACATTGACAAAATGCGAGTACTTAAGTGATATTATATCCTAACTTCAAACGACTTTGAATGATTTGGTGTTTTCATCGAATTCGAGTAGTAATGTATCCATTATATGTCATGAGCCTTTAATATAAATAATATGCATACAGACAGACTCAAGTTAAACGTTCACATATTGCCAACTACAATTTCAGGCCTACCTACGTAATTACAGATATTTCTAAAAAATATTCTTATATTATCTTATCTTATTTCTTAATACACATACTATAGATAAATTACACCCAGACTGGAGTTATTTATTATAAATATTTAGTTATTTCCTAAGTTGTAGATACCTTTGTGAAAAGACAAAAAAATACTCATGATTAATTTCATCAACAGTTTTTAATAGCCCACTGCTGGATATAGGCCTCTCCTTAGAAAGTAGGTTTTGATAAATACTTTTCCCCCAATATCTTTTTAAATAGATATCTGTATCCAGTCTTGGTGTAATTTACCTCATCTGATTTATTTTAATAATTTGATTACAAATGATCGTGCTCATCATTTATATTTGTCCCTGGTGGGAATCGAACTCACGGCTTCTGGCTTGTTCAGGATCGCTAACTACTAGATCAACAGGCCAGTCTATATATACCATTATTTCGGGTTGTTGTTGATGGGTATCATATAAAATATATATGAAAACGAGTACAAAGTGAGTGGACAATATTGTCTTATGTTATATAACTGCTAAAGATCAACAGAGTTACCAAGTAGCTTACGTAAAATAACCTTAACAATAGTAGTACTATTTATGATTACTACACAATTGAGTGTCATGTAACAGCTTTATTTTCCACTCTTAAACTGTGATCAAGTTGGCCAATCATTACTTTAGTGCTAAATCCAAGAGATCGTTTGTAATTTTCTTCTCCTGTATCAATATGCGAAACAAATTTTACGAAAGTGACTATTTCGAAATTCATATTCAAAAATTTGTTGTACGTTCCTACGATTTAAATTCCAATCAAGTAGTCAAATCATCCTAAATAAGCTTTAAGCAGTTACGGAGAACGTAGTGAATAATCTTCAAAATCATGGAGATAATGTACTTGGTGATTTATCTCGCAGTAAGTCCAAATGTTTTTGCTTTTCACTTTGGGAACATTTTACAGACATTACCACCATCATTGCCAGAACATTTTAAGAAGCAAATTCTAGACATGTACTCGAAAAATCCTGAAATGTTTGGCGATCCAGCGAATAAAGCTTCCGATAACGTTATGAAAATGCATAAACATAAAAAAAGGCCACAAATCCTTGGACAGTTACAATCAACCGCTCAACCGGACATCGTCAATACACAAAATGTAAGCGTTGATACTTTGCTACTAACTCCAATGCCAATGATGCCGATTCCTATACCAGTGCCAATGTACCCTGATGTTCCAATAATAATGCCAATGAGGACTTATTACGAGCGTGTGAAACACTACCACCCTCCGCTCCATGAAATCAGGAAAAAGATAAAAAAAGATGAAGAATGGTGGAACAAGCATGAAACTACAAGGAAGAAGAAAAAGAAGTTCAGATATAGTTCAAGTTTTTATACGGATACTAGTGAATCTTCGGATGACAAAAGTAGCTTTCAGTATTATGACGACGTTATCAAAATCAGAGGGTCTTAGATGGAACTTAATTTGAGATGATGATACAACTCGATATAAAGTGTTTGTCGTTTAATTTTTTTATTGGGAATTATAATTAAGCTCCATAATAAGATTGTGTTATAAATTTTAGCACATGGACTAAGACGATTGCCATTCTTACTCACTTAAGTAAGAATGGCATGATAAGGGTTGGTTGTTAATTAAAGACGTTCTATGGCTAGAAGTACATGTAGCTGTGAGGGATCCATTATCCTTAATTGTGTATATTTTTTAGATGTGTCATGGCCATCATACAACGAAGATCTTGCTTTTTTAACTTCGATCCACCTAGCATCGGCTTACAGCCTATTGTCACTGTTTATTTACTTAATTTATGTAACAAAACTATCTCAGTTACTTTTAATCGTTTCTCGACCGGGAATATTTAGGACAGCTTTCTCCAGAATAATAATAGAAGCCACAGTATCTGACTAATATATGTTAATTTTATCTACCTTTTGTCATTTTACGTCACTGCTGGTGGTACATCCTACTTAAGTCATAAGTTTAAAATGTTATTTTAACGAAAAATGCCTATGTTAATGTAATATCATTGAGCAGTAAAAGATTGTGGGTGTTTTGGCTATTGATACCGTCTGTTGAGCCAGATGTCATGGATTCGATTCAAGGAATTTTTATTAAACTAAATGATTGTGTGATAAACTATGATCAGTTCTGTGTCTGTGTGTAATATACCTGTAATGTGTTTATAACTATGTTTAGCAGCAGTATGTATCAAATATGTATACCATTCTGTAAGCTCTGCCTAGTTTTCCATCAGAAGACTTCCGTGTGTAAAGTGTAAAAAAATGATCCAGACGTAACGAAAACGTTATTATTTTTACTTTTTATAAGGTTTACTTTAAAATAGTAAAGGTGTACATACTTATTTTGAATTGTTTGAGACATATTGTTTACATGTGATTTTTCTGATATCAGTAGAACTATTTTTAAATATTTTTTTTTTTGGATTTTTATACCGTTAACAATGTAAAAATTCTTGGTGGTTTGAGAAAACTTACTATAATGAAAAGTAATTTATGATTAGTTATAAAAATGTAGTTGATTTTGTGAGTGAATATTTTTAATACGTTACTAAATAAACCTGTCTTTTTCTACTTAATGTACTTATATTAATCTTTACTTAAATAAACTATTCAATTAAGACAATTGTTATATTATTTTTCAACTATTTCTTTCAAAATTAAAGATAAGTTAATACTCAAGTTAGCCTGTTAGCACAATTTCAGGTATAACGTTTAGGTATTTTTCTGTTTTTATTCATTGACTAGTAAACCTTAAACTGCCCTAGTATAAACTTTATCACATCACATCACATCAACAGCCTATAACATTCCACTGCTGGACATAAACTTTATAAACCGTTCTAATATGTTCGTTGACTACAACTCAACATAGATATTAGAACCTTGTCACTTTTGTAGCCTTCTTCGCATAACTTTTAAATTTAAAACGTTTCATCAAAAATGTTTGTAATCAGGGACCGCCGTTTAGCTGTTTGAGCGCCCGCGTACAATGCCCTTCGGATACCTTCCACCGGACAACCGATGAAGGATTTTATTTCTGATTAAGTTCTTTTTATCCTTATTTCCATATTGATGATATTGATGTCTCAGCGCCTTAAAACGGCCTTGAAATCGCGCCGCCAAAACACGCCGCTGTCTCGGATAGTAGCCAAGGAACCAGGTGTAGCCTAGAAAGAAAATCCCTTATACCCCGATGGACCTCGCTTCATCTACGACTTTCAGATCACCCTCATGTGTTGGCGTATCTGTGCGACCACGGTTTCCCCTCCCTGCCTCTAAAGGCGCTCCGGAGCGCGTTGCGTAGCAATCTATCACCCTAGGCCTGTACCTATTGAGGACGGAGATCCAGCTAGCGCCAGTGCTTGAGCTGCCTGCAGTACCTGATCCCATGACCATGGACCATGGCCTAGTTTTAAGCCCAACCCGGTCCTACACGCGCTCGCTCCGTACCATAGCCGCAATCAGTTACGAGGTCATGCCTCGTTCCACACGCTCTGGCCATCACAGTAGTGGCACCCAGGCGTTGGCGCTTTGCGGATCAGAGGGTCAGTCGGTATCAGAGGATCCCGTGTTTCCTCTCGAGCCAATCCTCCATAACGAGCCTTAAGCCACCCCATAATTTCCCGAACGTAAAACTGTCACGTCTTGAGTGATTCAAATTAAACCTTTAAAGTAATTCGAAGCTTATACACGTTTACATTTATTTTAGTAAATCGATCAATAGATGTTACTATTATGACATAATAAAAACCCCGCCGCCCGTGTGCGGTGCACCCTCTGCACACCCGTACCCTGCGGCCCTGTTTGCAATTCGCACATATGTAGGCTTTTCCAAAAATATGTGATTTTGGTCCTTAAAGTTACCTTGACACTCAGAATTCTCTTCACGTTATAATATTCAACATGATTATGTTGATTATTATCACAGAGTACATTGTAATATACTGAAATAGAGGTATATCTCAATCGCTTTTGGAGGAAATTACAAAACAACGCCATCTGTTAGGAGCGAGCAACAACTTTTCTCCTACTCAACATTTAAAAGGATATATTTATACCTACATATCTATAATATAGGTAATACTTATTGTATACAGCATTGTTTATATTATGTACAAATATACCTATGCAATTAGAACTTTGTAAAATGAAACAATGTATAAAAAAACCGTTTATTTTCTTCTTTTCAAGACAACAACTTAATCTATAAAAAAAATAATGGCAACATTTTATTTCCAAAAGTCATTTTATAATGATTCCAGAAAATAGTGATATACGTTCCGGGATAATTAAAACTAAAACAACTCACTTTTTGTTTTATGCGGATTATACCGAAAGTAAAGACATCTATAAGTATCGACTGGCGAAGTACACACGTATTATACTCCTAAATGAAGTGTACGTATTGTTGTTACAATTTTGGAACAAATAAAAAACCATTGTGTTTGGTTTCATTATTTTCGTAACATTCCAAGGATTGTCGACTAAGATTGTACCGCCTGATTATTATAACGGGTTGATTAACACTAAACATTTTGCTTTTAACGAAAATAATCTAGGGTACCTATAGATCGAAGCTTAAAAGACAATCCTTACCACTCAACTAATCCTTACTGGTCATCTTCTTACTTTGTTCCCAACTTTATCCAATCCCTCTATCACTCGATAGATCACTGCTTGCTCCTTTTTCAGCCAGTGTTTCATTACATTGCATAATGGTTTTGGGTTCATTTTTAAGCTGCCTGACGCCAACTGTACTTGGGAATGTAATCTTTCTTCGTACACAATTCGAAGTGAAAAATCTAATCTCTCACAAACTCATTATTCTTAATCCGTCACCACACGGACGTTTTATTTTATTATTTATATTTTATTTTATTTTACTTAATAAAAAAAGTAAAATAAATTTTACAAATCTAAAAGTGTACACATGATATTTGCTATTACTCTAATATGGAATCCTTCTATGTTTCAAACATCGAAACATTCTATCGTCTCTATAAACTGCTTTAGTACATTTGACTAATCCCTCCCATACGCCCACCAATGTAACTTCTGTACACCGGGAACAACAGCAGATGCCAGCGAACACACCGAATTATGACACTCGAAAAGTCCCAGGAAAAGATTAAACTGTCTTGGAACCCACAACGAAATTAATGAGAAGAAAACAGGAGTTGGAAGTTCCTGTAGTACATAATAAAAAAGTTATGAGAACTATTATTGCCAAGTATTCCCGTAAATTTCATTGAGAATACTATAAGTAAGGTTAGTTAAGTAAGGTAGTTAATTCTGGAGGAAGAGTGCACTCAGGGGATGGTAACGCACTGATGACTGTTGAATTGCATATGTCCGTGAGCGGTGGTACTTACTTACCATCAGGAAACCCATCTTTTTGTCCCCTATACGATAAACAAAAATATAGTCGTAATATTTCTTTGAAAATAGTTCCATTAACAGTCGTACGATTCCAGTTTATAGTTTGTCTAAATATATGTAGAACTAAGGCTGTGTGAAGAAAGCGATAGGTACTAAGAAATAATTAGAGAGATCATCAAAGTTAGTTAGTTGACTTTGGTTAAGTGCAATCTACTACAGTGGTGATTAATTTATGAAGTGTTTCTTTTACGCAAGAGCGGGGGAAAGTGAACGTCTACAAACTTTTAAACTTTCGCGTTCCATGATAATTAATATTATTTAACGGGAATTAACGCGATCTCTTATTTAGGGTATTACATACCTCTGGTTTGCCTGACGTTTCGACCAGGTTGCACCGGCGTGGTCACAGGCCGTTAAATAATATTAATGAACGTCTACAACTCAGGAGCCAAAATCGCGTTGCCGTACTTTAAGGAAGGAGTACGCTCTTTTTCTTGAAGGTCGTATCGGTCCATAAATACTAAAGATGATAACTTGTTCCACAGATTAGTAGTGCGAGGCAAAGAGTGCCTTAAAAGCGCCCAGTATTGGATTGCCAAGTCTCCAAGCGATGGAAGGGGATCAATATGTGGAACGATTACGGAAAGTTGCGGCCAATATTAGTCCGAACAATTCCTCGGAGTATTCTCCATAATACATACGATAGAGAATGCAGAATGTCAACATTTAATAAACGACATTTAATTGTTTAAGGCATGTTGATAATTGTCATCATATAAATTAGCTCATACACATTATTTAGTTGTTAAAACACACTAGAAATAGCGAACACGAGTACTAGTACGCAACACTTCCTTACTAGAATAATACATTTGTCCATTCAGTGTTTTCCTTCCATTATACCTCGGCAGGTGTGTAAGAAGGCAAAGCAATTCATCAGAAGGGATATAAGCAAACTCCCATTTTTTATTTTTTACATTTTAAGAGTATCCTGTTGATAAGTAATAGGTTTTTGTCTATTATAAGTTTGTAACCAAATAACAGTTCGCAAAATATGAATGTTTAATACATAATAATATATAAAATAACGAAAAATTTATTTTATTTCGAGCCGAACTCAATAATACATTTTTTTACCCAAGTTTGGTCTCATCTAAAGAAAATGGTTCACAAATAGGTATGGGCAACGAATTAAGGAATAAAAAATCTGTTACAATTACAATTCGACACATTAAAGTAGGTGACACTTTTTTCGACGCTAATCGTGCCATATATCAATGTCAAAAGCAAAATAAATATTGCTTTTGCCAAAAAAACTAACGATGAAATACCATTATTTAAAAATATCAGGTCTTTGTGTGTACAATGTACACGGTAGTATTTTTTGTTTCTGATACTTAAGTGGATCATTAGAGATCTGTATGAATAAGCAGCAAAAAGTAAAGCTGGTGCCCATTATACAAAACTTACATATAATGATAAATACAATGGAATGTACTGTAGGGATAAGATGGTACTTTTTGCTTGGAGTGACGTCTTACAAGCAAAAACAATTAGAACGAAAAACAGAACAGTATGTTATTGTTTTTGTACAATTTGATGACATTACTAAATACTCATCCGTGTGAAGACGGATTAAGAATACAGTGTCACCACCCCTAGTCACAACATCACATCCCGTGGGTGTCGTAAGATCCGACTAAGGGAAAAAACTACGCAGAACAACAGCACTGCAAAAAGAAAGAAAACTTGACACAAACCCTATACCAACCCGTCTGGCCAGCGTGGTATATTAGGCCAAAACCTCCTTTCCAATAGAGGCTTATGTCCAGCAGTAGACTATTAAAGGCTGTTGATGTGATGTGATGGTTAAATACTCAGTCTTCAAACAAAGCATCAATATTGAGATTTAATAAAAACACGTTCGACTTTGAATTACTTCAATTTTTTGCTTTCCTTCTGGTTTATTTAATAGATGGCGTTGATTGTTAATTCAACACAAAGAATAATAAAAAAAACCATTAAAAATACTCTAAAATTTTATAATCATAAAAAAATATTTACAAAAACAAAATAATATCACACACTTCCGTCTTATCATTATATTTATTTTAAAAATCCTGAGCCTGACGCATTTATTAACTTCTTTTTATGGTATAAGGGGGCAAACAAGCGGACGGGTCACCTGATGGTAAGCAACTACGCCGCCAATGGACACCTGCAACTCAAAAGTCATAAGTGCGTTGCCGCCCTTGGAGTCCCTCTCGCTCGAATCAGCGGGGATTTGGGGTCCGGTAACCTCACTCACTCAGTGAAAGGCAACGAAAGAATTGCTTAACACCCTTTTTCTGTGAGGCCGTGGTATCACTCCGGTCGAGCCGGCTCATATTTCGAAAAACTATAAGTGTAACTGCAAACTTAAAGGCCAGTACTACTAGGCTAACTTCACATAACCACGAGGTACCACGCGGTACTACTACTGCATAAGATTCAACAAAAGAGTGTTTATCGTCTATTTTACCGTGTGGCATAGCGTGACTTGTATTTTACAAGCCTGTATCGACCTGTCCAATTGATCTGTGCGGTTTGAGACAGGCTGATATATGATATGATATGATCAAGATAATGTTAATGACAGACGCACAGCTTGGAGACGAGCAATGCTGCACAGTATCAACATAATCAAGTTACTGATCGGTCTACTCTAAATACTTATAATAAGGGAATGAAAATAATTCAAGGCAACAAAGCGTTTCCCGCTCTGTTGGTGCTGCATTTAACCTTACCTGTGCCTCTGAACTTCATGTAACCACACCCACAGTAAGTATACCGGAGTCTTACTCAAGTATAACTATAGGTACTGATTGAATCATTTATTACATTCTTGCTCTACATTTTGTTGCATGCTTTACAAGTTAATAAACCTGTATAATTTATTTTCACAGCACATTAAAATGCATTTTCTTAAGCTCTTCCACTTTGCATATTATTCTTAATTTTTGCTCTAACTATGCGTTAATGTAATCAGATACAAGAGGAACATCAGATTGCGTTACACTCAGAATTTTTTTACTTTTCCCCGTCTCAAATATTAACCAATTGGAATTAAACGACCTATTAAGATATAAGCATCTTGCTGCAGAAATTATTAGATATAAACTTAGAATAAACAGCGCACTCTCTATAATTATTAAAAACCAAGGACCTATTGTATACACCAGGTAGAACAGTGCCATTATCCCGTCACTCATTTTCGGTTGATCCTGGAACAAACAAGTTAACTTTAGTTTAATGTCTGTTCTGAGCCTGGGTGCTCCTTGTGTCCGTTTAATGTATGTTTCAAATGTATCAAATCCCCTGCGATACAGGATAATTTCAAGTACGTCTTTTTAAAATGCAAAAAAAATACAAGCAATTTTTAATTGAATTAGTGTTAGTAGTTTGATTGGAGTTTACACATAAGCCAAATGAGCGTACAGCCTTTCCGATGGAAAAGAAAATTAGAGATGTGTTTACAATCATGGAAAAATCAAATCATTTACTGTTCACGAACATCATACTAATAATAAATAAATAGAAGTACTTTGAAAACCTTTGTGTGTCACCTGCCTCGGTTACCGGTTACCAGAGGTCCCACTAGCCTTCGGTAACCTACCTCTTTCAGTGAAAAGCTACAACAGAATTGCCTAACAACCTTTGTGAGGCCGGGGTTTTACTCCAGTCAAGCCGTCCCATTGGTGCAGAAAATTGACTCTCCCATTGTGTTTCTCGTATTCTTTGGTAAAATACATATTAAAAAGGATTCAACTTACAACTTCTAGTCGAAGCACAGGCAGGATTTTATTGGAAAACCTGCGCGCTTCCATACTGTAGCTTACATCATCAATTGCTATGTTGAGCTGCAGCGATAATTTCGTGTAGAAAGGTATACCGGCTCTCTAGAATATAACACTGTGAGATTAATACGTATGTGGAGGAATGACTGTTAAAGTGCAGTATTTTATGCGTACATTCATCATTGACCTAAGATCCTAAATTACTAGAGCATAAACAACGACGTTTCTACGTTTCAACGACGATCTAGTAATTTTATACTTACATACATACATAATTCATACTTACACGGTCTATGATTATATCATTAGGGTACTTTTTTCTATCAGGCATCAATCCGTCGACAGCCTCTAACAGTTTGGGATCTCCATCCAAGAAATGAGGGTAGGAGGCAACGAATGGCATACCTGCAGAAAAATGTTGTCAGAGATACAAATGTTAATACAATCACGACTTAAAGTCGGTACTTTAAAAAAAAACTATTAAAATATGGACTTAAAAAGCGATTCACCGATCAGAAATAAGTGGCTACGAGCTGGAAAAAATTTCTTGAATTAATCCAAGAACTATCTCAATCATTTGAACCAAGTCCATTTTCCTCCCCTGTTACTAGTTTTATTTAGGGTCAGCGCATCATAAAGGCAAAGGTAGAAACTTAACCTGGAAAAATAATAGGTTCAGGATTCTAGAGTAAGGGATTATGCAGATCTGCACGGATGGCGTAGTGGTTTAAGCGGTCGCCACGCCGCTTCCTACTGCGCCGAGTGTTGTGGGTTCAAACCCCACATGGAACGACACTTTGTGTGATCCACAAATTGTTGTTCTGAGTCTGGGTGTTCTTTGTGTCCGTTTCATATATGTTTGTAAAGTCCCCCGCGACACAGGAATGTATTCCTACTGAGGGAGTTGTCTTTTTAAAAGAAAGGAAGAAAGAAAGATAGTATATCGAAGAAGCCATGATCTTGTATCCAAATGCCACTCCTGTTATTGGACACACAGCTAAGGCAGGGACGTCCACTAATACTAACCATAATAGCATTTAGAGATATCCATTATTCCTTTCGGAAAAGTTTTTTTGGTAGCGGGATTCGTCTCATTAATAAAACTACTGTTACTGAGCGTGTACTGCAGTCCCTCTCCACCGTACTCCGTAGTTTTCGACCCTTTATATTGCAATGCGAAGGTCCAGCAGATTGAGAGCCTGTACCAATGGATCGGCACCTCCGGTGTCAGTTCTGGCGGGTAGCCGATGCCCTCATAGGTATCCGGGAAGGTTAGTTCACTGGAATATTAGATTAAATTTTTAAGCAATTCTTTCATTGCCTTTCAATGAGTGAGTGAGGTTACCGGAGCCTAAATATCTCCCCGCTGGTTCGAGCGGAAGGGACTCCAAGGGCAGTAACGCACTTGTGACTTTTGAGTTGCAGGTGTCCATGGGCGGCGGTAGTTTACCATCAAGTGAACCGTCTGCTCGTTTGCCACCTTATACCATAAAAAAAAAGATCAATCTCCTGGAAAATTTCAAATAGTTGTTTTTTTTTATCCAAAAATTAAAAACAGAGATCATATAACTTTTTTGTACAGAAATTGAATGAAAACAATTTTCATTTAAACTGCAAAATTGAAAAGAAAACCAATTAGTGCATATATTATATACTCGTACAAAATACAATCGATAGAAGCAATTTCTTAGAGATTTATTTAAAAGATTTTGGAATAACAAATACGCTAAATAATAAGAAAAAACATTAAATTTTTTTAGAGTTTAAGGGCTATTATTTTAGTGTATCATATGAGTGCACCAGATGTCACCCGTGTATCACCGATTTTGATACTATTTTACTACCAGGTAGCTGTCTATATAAGGAGTAACTTAGGCTATTATTCCTCTTAGAAAAACCCTATAAAAAATTTCTTGGTCCGGGAATTGAACCCGAGGCCTCATAAACTGCAGTCGCGCAGCATTTATTTTTCATAAATTCCGTACATTGAACAAACATTTTCAATTCGCGGGTACCAGCTAGTATTTAAGTATGGAAATATTATGGAATAAGAACAAAACAAAAACTTATGGAAACACTATTAGTTTACATACCTCACTTCAAGATCGTTCATGCTTCCTTGTTGCAAATGACGGTATTTCGTCACGGATTTGATTTTAAACCTATCCTGTTTAGTTGCTCCTACAACTATTCTATAGTCCGATTCTTTATCGTAGAACTGAAAATTAAATAATTTTATTAAACAAATAAACGGTTATCTTATCTTATCTTATCTTATCTTATCTTATCTTATCTTATCTTATCTTATCTTATCTTATCTTATCTTATCTTATCTTATCTTATCTTATCTTATCTTATCTTATCTTATCTTATCTTATCTTATCTTATCCTCAGAAGAAAAATAACTTACAATATCACTTCTTTAATTACTATCAATCGTCAAACAACATAGTGAACATAGTACTTGTTATATACTTTATCTCTATGCAGATAGAGTGTCGTGATGGATTAGGAGTACGGAGTGTCACCACCTCTGTTCATCCCGTGGGTGTCGCGAGAGTCAACTAAGAAAGCAAACTACGCAGAATAGTACAGCACTGCAAAGAGAAGGAAAATTTGAAACAAATCCTAGATCAGCCCGTCTGACCAGCGTTGTATAGTAGGCCAAAATCTCCTTTCTAAGAGGAGGTCTATGTTAAGCAGTGGACAATTAAAGGCTGATGATGATGAGATAGAGTTGGTAATAACTTTATTCCATAGACTTACCCTGTCAAGGAAACCTATCCTATCAAAGTAAATTAGACCAGATATTAGTTTGTTACACAGCGTAATTATGGGATTCTCGTAGCCCCACATGAGGCTATGCACATCCATGTTAATTATGGCTTTGGACTTCATTTGGGAAGTCATTGCGCTGAACATAAAGCGAATGAAACTCGGATACGGTGACAGTAAAGATGTTGTGGTCTGGAACGAATAATAAGTTAATTTCTATGTTATTGTTAATTTCTGTGTATTAGACGACCGAATGGCGTAGTGGTCTGTGTAACGGACTGCTATTCCAAAGGTCGCGGGTTCGATTCCCGCTCAAGTCAAACATTTGTGTGCATGAACATTGAATGTTTGATTTGGTCTGGGTGTTTCTATGTATAATAAGTATGTATTTACAAAAAAAAAAAAAAAAGTATATATGTATTTATATCAGTTATCTAGTACTCATAGTACAAGCTCTGCTTAGTTTGGGACTAGATGGCGTTGTGTGAATGTGGTATAATATTATTATTATTCTCTTTATTTACTTTATATACATATTATTTACATTTTTAAATATACACTTTATAAAAAAAATACATTTAAAAATATAAAAAATAGTAGACCACCGACATCGGGTACAGGGACCAAGACACCGGTGGTTAGGACTCCAAAGATAGGAACCTCCTCACTATACGAGCCGTGTCAAGGAGGACTGCCTTCTGCATCAGACCCTTGATCCAGCCATCCAACGTAAGCCTCTTAAGGTGTTGGTCGAGGCTCTTGGCTATCAATCCATGAGCAGATACGACTATCGGAACAATGATCACTGAATCAACATTCCACATATCGACAATCTCGTGAGATAAATCCAAATATTTAATTTGTTTTTCTTTTTCAACTTTCACGAGATTCTCGTCATGAGGAACGGCGATATCAACAATCATTGCGCGGCGCTCTAATCGATCTATCAACACAATATCAGGCTTATTGGCAACAATAGTCCTGTCTGTGATAATAGATCGATCCCAATACAACGTGGCCCGACCATTCTCGAGAACTGGGTCGGGCACATACCTATAGTATGGCACCTCTAGATTCACAAGATGGTATTTAAGGGCAAGCTGTTGGTGTACGATCCTGGCTACTTGGTTGTGCCTGTGCAAATATTCTCCGTTAGCAAGACGAGAACAACCAGAAATAATATGCCTGATTGATTCGCCAGGACGGTGGCATGCCCGACAGATGTCAACCGTACCATCTTTCAGGATATATTTCCGATAGTTATTCGTCATGATAACTTCGTCCATAATCGCACAAACAAAACCTTCAGTTTCTCCAAAGAGATCACCATGCCGTAGCCAAGTCGTAGATGCTTTTAAATCTATATCGGACCCGTTTAGGGCCCGATAAAACCGACCATGGAGCTCTTTGCCCTTCCATATTATTATTATTCCTTATTTATTATTATTATTATTATTATGTATAATAAAGCGACTCAATGTACCTGTATAAGCAATATTCCTTTTCTAATACTACCTGTTCTTTTCATGTTGAGCTCCTAATAGTAATCGGCTTGCACCCTAATATTTAAGTTCGATTTTAATTATGCTCGGCAAAATGTGAGTGTTCAACATACTACTGGCTATTCCTACAGGGTTATAGGCGCTCATATATGTGAGTATGTACATTGTTTATGTATGTGTTTTTTTTTTTTATTAGGAACTAATGCCACCCACCCGCCCACCACTGTAACTCCTGTATACCAGGATCCACAGCAGTGACCCACGAACACACCGAGTTAAATGAAAATAAAAATGTATGTGATTAACAGTTATTGAGATTAATTTGACGGGCCTGTTGGTCAAGTTGTTAGTGGCCCTGACTGCTAAGCCGGAGTACGTGGGTTCGATTCCCACCCAGGACAAATATTGTGTGATGAGCACGGTCATTTGTTCGGTATATAAAATATATCGGTATTTAAAAATATATAAGTATGTTTATCAGAGGTCTGGTTACCATAGCACAGGCTCTGCCTAGTTGGGGATCAGACGGCCGTGTGTGAGATGTGGGAGGTTATTAATTAAAAACGAAGTAAGAAAGCCTATGAAAAGTTAAGCGTAATCCAAAAATATAATTGTCAATTTTGACAATTATCAGATCTACAACACTGAACTGAAATAAAACTTCTAAACTTAGACTTACGAGCAGTGGCAAGTTAAGGAAAGTTAGGTTGATGTTTTTAGGATCACCTATGGATTCATCTGGCAAAAATTCGGACCTCATCTTGGGTGTCATTCCCATCTCTGTACCGTTGTCGTTCATCTCCATGTCTTCAAACCAACGGTATTCTCTGAAAACGAACATCAATCATATACACTGTTCATCAAGGGTCAAGGGTCTAAGGTCCAGGGTACCAGGAGAGACCTCTAGTACAAGGACATAAATTTGCCAACAAATGAAATAGCATACTGGTAGACAAAAGGGCCGACTTCTTTCACTTTCATCTTTTTGTCTTCTCCAGACATAAACTTCTCCGCATTGGTGATGTTGAACATAAATAAAGATAGACGAGCTGCTTTGATGTCATGTCTTAGTAAGTTATAGAGTGCAGAACCGGTCTCCAGGCGTAAATTCTGTAAAATAATTGGTTGATATATATTTTTTTGTAAACGGAATAAATGAAAAGATGGATCCTGATGGTAATTGCCATCGGATACCCGCAAGTAACAGTCACTAATGCGTAGCTGTCCTTCAAGCCGGTAACCTCACTAACCACTCAATCGGTGTACCATGTCGTACCCGTGGTACCGCTCCCGTCGAGCATGGCTCTTCCACGTTACCATCCACATCACAATCAATGAACTTGACTTTACAATATAACAAAACAGTACAGTATAATTTTCACAGGTTTAACCCAGAGAAGCCTACTGTCCCATATGTCTGCAATGCACTTTTAGATATACTTTTCAATGAAATATTTATAAAATGGATAATATATTATAACTGCACCTTTTTAATTTTATTTCAATAGCACATTAGCTTCTCACTACAAATCCATTAAATATATTCTGTTAATATGTGCGTAAGTTGAAATATTTTTTATTTCTACCGTCCAACATATGGGACAGTAGGCTTATTTGGGTTAAAGTTATTTTATTTCCCTTCATTTTCTTCTACGAGCCATTTTTCCCAAACTATGTTGATATCGGCCTTAAGGCTACTACGATACTGCTAAACTTCGATTTTTAACAAGCGACTGCTATGATCTCCACAACCCAAGTATTAGGCGATATCGAAATTCTGTAGGAAGACTATTTTGTTGGGCTTTTTTAAATCCCTTCATCCATCATGAAAAAATACATTAACGCAAGCCAAGGCGGCAAATTATTTAATTAATTTGGCGCCTTGGCTTGCGTTAAAGTATTTTTTCAAATAATAACAATTTAAAAAATTCAATAGTAAATTTCTCACTGAATAATATTATTATAACTAATATTTTCTAATCAAATGTTTTAAAGCTACTTACGTAATTAACTATTGAGTGGATGGGATCTAATATAATTAATAATACAGATGCTATTGCACACAAGATGGCAATTATAAACCTGCTTAAGATTTTACCTGTAACAAAAATATTATTAATCAAATGATATTTAAATAATTCATCAGCATGATTATTTTTCACATTTATATTTTGTATCTGGTTATCTTGAATCTTAAAAAGATATGACACATTGCAAATTGCACATAATACTACTTACGATAGTTCCAAAAAAGTTTTGGAATTTTGTTCTTTAGGAAAATCTTGGTTCTCTACTAGACCAGGGTTACGATTTTCTCAAAAAAAATCCAACCGAGATATTTAATAATATATAGTATATTATTAAATATCTCGGTTGGATTTTTTTAACGTAATATAACTAAAATGCAAAAAATTGAGAACATCCTGTAATTTGCTGTCAAAGTTGAAAATAAATTTTCCTCGACTTTTTACGAAGAAATGTATGTTTGTATACATAATTTTTTTTAGTATGTATGTTTATCTACAATTTTAAATAGTTCCCTGTACAGGGCTCGGATTTGCCAGCAAACAGTTCTAGATACAGATGTATGACCCTGACCTGCATGATCTTCTTCTTACACTCCTCAATCCATCTCTATAGGCATTATTTCTTTCCTGCCATTGCCCTCCCTTCTAACCAAGTTTTTCCATTTTAAACTCCCAATTTTCCCATCAAATTCCCAAATTGCACGGTTGCCAATAGTCTTGCCCACAATTACGTAAGTGGGATTAAAAATATAACCGGCAAAGTTGAGCGGTTATTACACCTCTCCTTACACTACCGGAATGGACATGTATGTATGTATATATTACAGTCCTAACTCTTAAACGGTCGAAAAGTATTTTTAACCGGCAAAATCAGTCAATAGTACTTGGAACCGCAACATAATACTGTTATAACTTCATCGAGTTCAAATGACTCACCAAGAATAGAGAGGATCTCTTGCTCGTCGGCCGCTGCGCGTTAATGGCCCTTGTTTTAACCTAATCTTAAAAATACTGGCCGGTGAAGAGTTTTGACTGTAACAGGTATATGTTTACTGGATTAGGAAAAGTACTTACTTGTTTTGGTAATTTGATTGGTCATTGGCACGGACATTTTTCTAGTTATAAGCACCATTTCAGCTGCCTGGTACACGTACTCGTAATTAGCGGCAAATGCTTCGTAGCCTCGTCATTTAAGGATACTCCTGAAACAAAATTAGTATTGACAGGCTGACCCGCTATAGCTTAGTTTACATCTCTCAAAAGGAATAAATTTTCCCCATTTTTGCAAAAAAATATTGATGCCCGGCTCCTATTGGTGGTAGCGTGATATCATTTAGGCCAATAGCCTTCCGTCATTAATGGGCTATGCAACATTAAAAGAACCAGTAGTTCCTGAGATTAACGATTCCGCAGTCCTCAGGAGGAAGCCCCATGGTTTCGTTATGTCAGTCTGTCTGCACATCTATTTGTCTAGCTGAGAAACTGTTAATAGCTTAGATACGCCTCTAAAGTTTTAAATAAAACACTGAGACTGGATTTCACGGATCAGTATGCACATTTCAGAGCGCCAGATACTATTGTAAAATTCTCAATCAATTATCATTTATCATCAATGTCATCATCATCAATCATCAACAGCCTATACTAGTCCACTGCTGGACATAGGCCTCAATGTATGTGATGATTAATCACTACACGTAAATACATGAATAATAGTTTTCGATACACAGCATTAGACAATCACATTAAAATTATTTTTTGTCAAGTTCAAGATATTTAAGAACTGTTACATAATAAAACTCTTTAACAAAAATGTATTTTTTGGGATCTGTGTGGTGACGGATTAAGAATATGGAGTGTCACCACCCATATTCATCCCATGGATGTCGTAAGACCTGACTAAGGGAGCAAAATAAGCAGGACAACAGTACTTTAAAGAGAAGAAAAACTTGACAAAAACCATACTGACCCGTCTGGCCAGCGTGGTATAGTATACCAAACCTCCTTTCATAGGCCTATGTGGCAGTGGACTAGTAAAAACCTGTTGATGTGATGTGTGTGTGTAATTTTTTTAAACTTAAATGTAATAAAATTAGCCGTAGTTTTAATGCCAGTCAATAATTATAATATTCAGCAGTGGACTGCAATAAGTTGATTGATTAAATGACATACATATATTAATGGGGCTATAATTATTTTATACAAAACAATCTTTTTAAAAATGTCGTTGTCAGATGCAATAAAAAATTTGTAAATCCAATTATTTTTCTAACAATCCATTATCTGTAACATTATAACATAGTCTTGAGTGACGCAGGTTTGGCGTTTTTATTGTTTACCCATTAATGTCAAATGGTAAAGAAAAAAGTTTAAATTACAGAGTCTGAACAAAATAAGTACATAAAAATAATTGATTGTTAGTTTTCATGATTTTTTTTTTCAATTTTTAACGTAGTAGTTTACGTAATGTACGTGTGATTAATTTTAAACCTGCGAGTGAACTATTTTAGTAAATACGATAAAATCTATTCTTAGGTTTCCATGATAAATCTTAAAATGGTACCCCAATAGGAACACTTCATTGTTTGTATGACTAACTGTCTGTCTTTGTAACAGTTTGGTAAACGGTACATTTTAAACTTGTAAGCAAATGATATATTCTATTTTGCTGGGTATGTCAATGGTGTTGATATCAATATTGATGACCTATATTACTATATCGACAGTCTATTGAAACTGTGAATTTATGTTAGTAGAATACTGATATTTTGACTGATGTCAATGGCATCGCAATAGCGTGTCAATGGAAAGCCAGTGGCTTGACGTTAACATAAAATAGCAGAATTGGCAATTCCATTTGTACATGTCCCATCATCTGTCCTGTGTAATTACGGAGTGAGTGGAACAGTTTAAATGTTCTTCAGTATTATAATAGTAGCGTAGATGAGTTAAATAACGTGTAAAACTACATACAACGGTTTTGCTCCTTTTTGTTGAGACCTATTCACTTAAAAAAGATTGCACAATAATAACCTTTTTGCCTAATCAATGACACATTTTCGTAAGTCATAAAAAAAATCTACAAAAAGTATCAAAACTACTCTACGATAGTTCGGAATTGAGGCGTATTTTTTATAGCTCTAAACACTGAAGGTAGGACTGCCCTTTTATCAAATGATTAGTAATTTTGTAAGATGATCAGAAGGCCATTCTAGCAATCAAAGTTCGGTGAAAATTCAGTTTCTATCTACTCTCGATCTTAGTTATTTTCGTATTAAAATAATTACTAAGACGAGCAGAGACTGCACGGATGGCGTTGATGTTTAAGCGATCGCCACGCCGCTTCCTACTATGCTCCGTCTTGTGGGTTCAAACTCCACATGGGACACTTCGTGTGATACACAAATTGTTGTTCTGAGTCTCGGTGTTCTTTGTGTCCGTTTCATGTATGTTTGTAAAGTCCCCCGCGTGATAGACTATACTCATAATGCGGGAGTTGTCTTTTTAAAACAGAGAAACAGAGAGATTACCGATTCAAATTTCAGTCACAACGCTGGTTTATCACATTATTACCGTAACGTTGACTACGTTGGATGTTAAATACTTTACTACGAATATACCCTTTAAGTTCGTCCGAACTTTTATTACGAGAGTTGACCTTCAGGTCATATTTTTGTCTGATAAATACAACTTTTTGTTGTATGTATGTAATTTATTTGTAATGTATATTTATCAGCAGTCTGGTTACCAAAAAACTCTCAAGACAGCCTTGCCTTAAATATTTCAAATAAACAAGGAACTTAAACATTGTCCTCTCAGTTATTGTAACCTCACTGCATTGCATACACATTAATATTCGCTTTTATTATAAAATAATTGTTCTCCGTTAAATGTAGCAAACCAAATATTTTATGAAATGCGAATATTAGACGAAGTGGTCGCCCACATCATAAAGTAATCAATTCTATGATTTGATAAATAAACGGTTTTACTTACGTGTGTATTTCGTGGATACCCGCCTAATTGCAGACTCGATAAGGTCTTTTCTTCAAGGCATTTAAAGTCCGTATGCGACGATGTCAGTGACAGCGCGGGGCCTGACACATTAGTAACAAAACTGAAAGATGAAAATTTGTAATCTGCAATCACAAGATTCTAAAACTTGAGAATATGATTTTTTTACAAACGCGTACAATTCGTAACTATATGGGTAAATAGACCGAGATAATCCCCGAATAAAAAGAAGAAATATTGATTAATATTATTAGACTTTTTGGCATTATTTAGATACTGGAGTGCTATTTTTCACAGTGAATGACTTGTACCTTGTTAAAGACTTGTTAACGCTATGTTGTTAAAATGTTGTCGGTGTGTTATAGTAGATATGTACGCCTGTTACAACAGTGATGTCACTGCAACCTTGATGCGATCAATGATACGCCAAAGTACACAAATATGTTAAACAGCAGAATATTTTGTGGTATTACTGAAATGGATTCTTTTTCGGTACTCCTTTCTGTTAAAAACGGTAGGTTTCTGTTGAATAGTAGGCCAAAACCTCGGTTTTAACGAGAGGCCAATGTCCAGCAGTGGACTATTAATAATTAAGGTATTGATGTATATATAAACCGTCATCAATCAAGGATTTTTTGCAACGTCAGCAGGGTGTTGACGTATTTTTTTTAACATTGGTGTGATGTTTGTCAATAGAATAATATTTGAATTACTGGTCGAAATGAATACATTGTTTTATTTAGTTAGTTTAGGTAGTTTTTTAGTTAGGGTATAGGGACTAATCCCACCCACACGCCCACCACTGTAACTCCTGTACACCAGGATCCACAGCAGTGACCCACGAACATATCGAGTTATGACACTCGGGAAGTCCCAGGAAGAAATTAAACTGTCTTGGAACCCGCAACGAAATTAATCAGAAGAAAATTGGAGGAGTTACATTGGAGGAAATACAGTAAATCCACTTCCCTCCTTAGCAAAGCGAGAGACAAAATTAAGTAAAATAGGCATACACCCTTTTAAACAGGGAAGCACCACGGCCACAAAATATTACGGGTCCTACGTGAGCTATATTTGATTTCTATAATATGTATGGCAGAATCGCCTAAACTAACGGAAATTCACCCTAGTTGGCACAAGATCCCCATAGTATATTAGGGTATAGGGGGACAAACGAGCAGGCGGCTCACGTGATGGTAATCCACCGCCCATGGACACCGGAAACTCAAGAGCAATAACTGCGTTGACCCCCCTTAAGCCCCAATCCCCTCCCCTATAAAATTGTAGGCTTATGTTATGATTTAATGTTGTAATTAATAGGTAAATAAATAAACATGCAAAGCTAATATATAGTATTATAAAAAAATTTAGTAATTAGTTATCTAAATACTGTAGAAATTATTTGTTGTTTTTAGGGTTATAATGCAATTATAAAATCGTTTAAGAATATTTTATTACCTTATTTATAGACGTAATAACAATAAACTGTAATAAAATGTAATACACATTTAAAAACTATAAAGTGGGTTTGTTTCTATGTCCAGACCAGGAGTAATCTGTGTTTCGATGTTTTAGTTTTACTTAATCAACTCTCAATTGACTACTGACCCTGACTGCTACGCCAGAGGTCGTGGGTTCGATTCCTACTCAGGATAAATTATTCTGTCTGGGTGTAACTGTGTATTAGAAATATATAAGTAAATTTATCAGCAGTCAGATCACCATAGTACCTAGCTCTGCCTAGTTTCTATCAGATGGACTATTGAAATTTGAAGCCGGTTTTCTGTAACACACTTCTGTTTCTTTTCACGAAGTAATTCAAATGTCTTGCAGGAAAGTGAATGCATACTATACACATCAAAAATATATTTGTTAGTAACGATCTCTTTATTTTTTATACCTTTGTGTGTTTGAATAATAAATAATTCTCATTGTCATCCAAAAAGTACTGTTTTCGAAGGATTCTTACTTCAAATGACTGACAAAATCTAAAGTAGAGAATAATATATTCTAGAGCATTTATTCCAGAAAATTGCATGTTTTTTATTTTTTAAAGTAAACACAGATCTCTTTTTTTTTTTTTTTTTAAAAGATAAC